ATATAATATTCATTATTATTTTAAATTACGATAAATATCATTTAAATATCCGTTATGTTTCCTATTAAAGGCAATTCAGCCGGGCTCTTTTTCTATCTATAATATCGATTCTGTCGCGTTCTTGTTTTTTAAAAATATTTTTTCATGTCCTTTCAGGCAACAATATGTTACCTTTCGCAATTTCCATCCTGTGCCAGGATCTGAAAATGTCATGAAATATGGTGCAAAAAGGCCGATCGATTGGGATCATAGCTCATCTAATGCCCAGCTGGGGATCGTTGACTTTGTTTGTTATCTTTTGTTATTGTTTGTCGTTGTTATCATGTATCCAAGTTCATATCCCAATTATATCACCCTTTATCCACCCGCTATACCCTGCAGTAGTTTCACATAGCCGTGGAACATGGCCCACTTATAGATGATATACCTCCCAAAACTGGTGATTCTCCACACCGCTGTTAAATTACCACATGGTATATACCAATATTCTATTTGTAGCTAATTCAGGTATCATCAATTCAAAGTCCATTATTCATTGAATAATTCTTCCATTCTTTCTTAGGGATATACCCCATACCCCAGTAATGTGGTACGAGTACACCAAATTTCATAAGCCATCCCAAAGTCATCACCATTTTTACGGGTGGTATGTTTACCCCAGCCATGGTAGGTTTATGGCACTGGGTTTCCCATATTGATCACTATTAATCACCATGAATCAGCTTTGAATCAAGCCCCTATTAAACACCATTACTCAAGATTACTATTAGATACTATTAATATCTATTGATCACCATTAAACTGAATCAAGCCCCGATAAAAACACCATTACTCAACATTAATCACCACTAACTTATCAAATGCTGCGTGTGTTGATGCCAATGGACCACACCTCTGTGCTTCCTTGGACTTCACCGACGCCGTTTCAAGGACCTGGGCAGCAATTGCCAAACAATGTATCACTTGAGCAGTGTTCAAAACCCCTCTGTCATTCCAACCAGCAGGGGTTTTCAACATTGCTCATTTGTATGTGTTATCTATCTCTAAATAATCTATTTGTAAATCCGTCGGCCAGCCGGCATGTTTTATGGATGCTCTTGTGATACATCTTGTGATAGCTTTAGCTTCACCTATAGATTCTTTCTTCGACGGATTTTTGTTTTGAGTTAGATCTCCTTCTACGGATTTTTGGTTTCGCTGCCCTACCCCCCCCTCCCCACCTTCGCATATACACTATAGTCTAGTATCTAGAATCTAGTATAGTCTCGTCTAGTCTAGTCTCCTATCTTTTCTTAAGCGAACTAGGAACGAGCACTGACCTTATTTACATCCTCATCGTCTCGGCATCATCATCATCATCATCATCATCGTCATCATTGTCATTGTCATCATCATCATCATCATCATCTCATCCTCATCATCCTCATCCTCATCATCCTCATCACCATCGTTGTCATCATCATCATCATCATCATCGTCATCTTCTGAATCTTCTGAATCTTCTGTTCTCTTTCTTCGTCCTCCTTCATCCTCCCATGTCCGTCTTCTCTTTTGTTCCTTCGGCTCGCCGCCCTGGGCTGCGGCATTTTTCCACGGTTTCCTGTCCCTTCCAGGCAGACGTACGTTCGGACCTGCCGCTTTGGCACCCAATACTTTCCATAAGCACCTGCCACTGCTGCTCTTCCTCTGCACTCCCGGCCTTCGCCGCATGCTCTCTCACAGCCATGCCGCTTGCATCTACTCACTTGACTCCTTTCTGTTCAATCTCCAAGGTCTTACACACTACACACACCTGCTTCTACACAAACCAACTTTTACACCAACCAGCTTTTACACAAACACTCTTTTACACAAAGCACTCTTTGCAGAAACCCACTTTTACACCAACCAGCTTTTACAACCCAGCTTCCACGCGCACTACTTTTTCGGCCAACCAACCTTTTGCACCATCCAGCTTTACACAACCCCTGCTTTGGGCCTGAAAGCCAAAGGCCAAAGGGCCGGCGGAATGCCAAAGGCTGTTAAATATTTGTAAATAAACATATTTATAAAATTGTATATGTATACTGTATATATATATGTGTATATACACAGTCAAATATATTATATAATACAATGTAATCTTGTGCAACCTCTACTATATATAGACTATATACACTAGGTACGTAGGTATATAGGTATGCGCGTAGATACGCACGTACGTAGGCAGGTATGTACGTAGTTACGTAGGTACGTATGTAGGTAGGTAGGTAGGTAGGAAGGTAGCAAGGTAAGAAGGTAAGATTGGGTAGGTAGGATGAGGTCGGAAGGATTTAGGTAGGATTAGGTAGGTAGGATTAGGTAATTAGGTAGGATTAGGTAGGTAGGATTAGGTAGGTAGGAGTAGGTAGGTAGGAGTAGGTAGGTAGGATTAGGTAGGAAGGATTAGGTAGGTAGGTAGGGAGGGAGGTAGGTAGGTAGGTACAAGTAAGTAGGTAGGTACCGGTAGGTAGGTACAAGTAGGTAAGTGCAAGCAGGTAGATACAAGTAGGTGGGTACAAGTAGGTTGGTACAAGTAGGTAGGTACCGGTAGGTAGGTACAAGTAGGTAGGTACAAGTAGATAGGTACAGGTAGGTAGGTACAAGTAGGTAGGTACAAGTAGGTAGGTAGGCGCACAGGTATGTAGATAGGTAGGTATGGGTGGGTGGGTAGGCAGGTAGGTAGGTAAATAGATAATACATGCGTACGTGTCTGTCTGTCTGTCTGTATGTAATGCCTGTTCAGTCTGTATGTATGTAAGCATGCCTGCATGCATGTCATATCATGATATATCATGTAACATCACAGACTTGTCGATATCACAGACTTGTCGATCGGGACGGGTGCCATCCCAACTATATACCCCAGATCGTCCTAGATGCTCCTCCCATGTGTGACAGCCTCCTGCAAAGCTTGGACTTCTGCTGCAATCTCTGGGAAGGCCTGAAAAGGAACACTGTGCAGAGGGCCTCAAAAAGGGAACTTGTGAAGCCTTTGATTTTCGCTTAGAATTTCTCAGATTGCACTGCAGATCCCATTCTGGAGATGAATCACCTGGGGTCCCGTCAGGATTAAACGTGGGTTGTTTGCAGTCGTGGATTTTCCCCACCACGTGTTTGTTTCAGTGACAACACCTGTGGTAATGCCTACTAAGTAGGGACCTACTTGTGTTCCATCGAGCCAGAATATGTTGGGAGCAAAAGAGGCAGGGCCAATGACCATCAAAATACGGAGGGGTTAGGACATTGGGGCATGTCAAGGTTGGCAGCTGCATCCTGCTATCTGTTTCTGGACTAATCCAGACCTTGATTGTTGGCAACTTATTTTGGCTTCCAACTAATTCCAGTGCCAGGTATGATTCGGTATGGCTTTTCGAGTGTATCCATGCGCCAGCCCGTGGCCTCTTCATGATACCATGCAAAAGATGCCAAGAACTGCAGTTTCTTCACACCTTGGTCCGGATCTCTGGCAGTTGGAAGAGAAAAGCCGCGCATATTGAAGCTTTCGGAATCTTTCAGATAGAGGAAAAACGACGGAAAACAACCAGCACAATGGATATGAAACCCTGAAAAAGGATGTACTATATGTGTGTGTATATATATAATATGATGTATATTTCTTTTGAAGATTAGATGAACTGTCTCAATTGTGAAACTCTGGTGGGTTGAGATTCAAGGCGACTATCAGGTGATGAAGGCTTAGACATCTAGTCACAAGCGGGACATCAGGCTTCCTCCTCCCGGCAGCTGCCATTCACCCCAAAGCACTAGGGGAACCGGGTACCCATTGACAAATGGCTAGCAGTGTAGCCATTTCCCACTAAACTGCTGAACATCCGTCGCCCAAGGTGTTGGGTTCACCAAGCGATTTGATGTTTCACATGGCATGGTTTCTCCGACCTGGCCTCGCAACAAGCGCGAAGCAGATTTTGGGTCCTTGGCTGGGATGAAGTTCAGAACATCCGCTGAACATCCACATGAAGATATAAGTATACTGACTATACTGATATATAATTCAACTCATAGATATGGATAGATAATGATAGGTATGGCAGATGTCAGCAAGTCAACTGTTTTCACCATGTTTCACCCGAGATTTTTTTCGTTCCACGACGCCTGTCCTGCGCCATCTGCTGGGCGTTCTCTGAGAGATCTTGAGCCTCCAAAAGAGCTCTCGCCTCCAGCAGTAGCCACTACCCTCTGGTAATTCAACGTAGCCATTGAACATGGCTATTTATGGATGATTTACCTATAAAAATTGGTGATTTTCCACAGTTATGTTAGTTTGCAGGAAGGGTATCACCTCTTTGTCAACTATCATCAATTTATATCAATTTGATGTGAATAATATGACATCCTGGAGTAGATAGACTATGATATTTTTTAAACCACTCCTCATTAAAATGGTACTATATACATTTCACCATTCCATTTCTATCTACTTCAGGATCATTGTATCTATATATAAAATGTATGTATATATATATATGCATATACATATTATATGCATGTATATATATATATTATGTATGTATGGTATGGTATGGTACGGTACGGTACGGTACGGTATGGTATGTATGGTATGTATGGTATGTATGGTATGTATGGTATGTATGGTATGTATGGTATGTATGGTATGTATGGTATGTATGGTATGTATGGTATGTATGGTATGTATGGTATGTATGGTATGTATGGTATGGTATGTGGTATGGATGTATGGTATGTATGTATGTACGTACGTACGAATGAATGAATACTATGAATCTTATGTAATTAATACATTCTTAACTCATCTTAAGCAGTTCTGTTTACACATGAATACACGGGTATCCCACTGAACAACATGATGCTCGGCCCCATTTCTCCAGAGTGACCCATCAGGCATTCCAATATGAAGGTCCAAGAAAACACATCAGCTGAGACATGTTTCACCAACTCCACTAGACCAGTTTGGGGTTCTTAAAGTTGGGGCACCCTAAATTGGCAATTTCTCAAAGCTAGGGTACTCCAAATTGAACATGATTGATTTAGGATGACTTGTTGTTTTGTTTCCCCATTTTCAAGAACCCCCTCTTCTCAGCCACTCAAATTGAGGCCCGAACACATGATCCCACCCCTCTTCTCAGGATGGTTGCCACATCTGCCAAACAATGTCTATCCTTAGCCACCGATCCATCTCCGATCCATCTTTTTGGAGGGAAATCGGTTTCTGCGCGTCTTCACATGGCTCGTTCTCGTAACATGGCTATTATAACCTCCGAATTATGGCCATGAACTACTAGAACTATCTAGAACTAGTAGTATAGAATAGATGAATAGGGAAAAGGATGGTAAACTAATATCGATCAACATCAAGCGGCTACCCTATTTTCAGACAAACCCTCCAAGGATAGATTACCCAGGAGACAGAAAAGATAATGATCTCCCACGTCTGCCAAGTGAAATAGAATCCATCGCATCAAAAGCTTACGCTAAAAGTCCTAAGTCATAAACAACTATTGACTATTGTTCACTTTTCCTGAGAATCACACACGGGTGAAAATCACGCATCACTCATGAAATGAAAATCACGCTGAATATCGATGAACTATCCATAAATCACACTGAATATAGATGAACTATCCAAATTTGTCATGCTGATTGGTCATTTTTTTCCGTCCAGATTCTCCCAAAGAATTCAGATTCCAAAATGGGCACCGAGACACAAAATCAGCTCCAAAACCTCCGCCCGGCAACTTGCAGGCCTTGGCACATTCTGTGCAGACATCGCTTCTGTGAAACAATGGGAGTAGTTTCCCTTTAAAAGACATAAAAACACAAAGCTAAAAGTGCAAAAGAAGGCAAAAAAATGCAATTTTCATCTATTTTCATTGGAAACCAATGATCAACACCCATTGTTTCTTTTTTTAATTGTAGGCCATTTTTGTGCAAACAAAATGTGGTGAAGCCGGTTAAGCCATCCAGTAACCAACATGCTGATGGTACATGTGCCAAAACAAAGTCCAAAGAGATGTATGCGACTTATGCTGGGTGAATCTGACTACTTTTATAACCCGCGGTCCAAAAGCGGAGACATGCTATTTTCTCATGATTTTTGTGTTTTTTTCCATGCTTTTCCCATGGGTTTGCCCATGATTTTCCAGACTTTCGCCACACCCTGAGGCTCCAAGCCACGCTTTGTGGAGCTTGTAGGGCTTCAGTGACTGAGTCGTAGACCTGTCGTCCCTGGCGAGGCGGCTTTTTTCAAACACCAATTCTATCCTGAAACGATCTCATTCCTTTGTGTTTTCGATCCATGAAATATGCAGCGATTCTGGGTCTACCAAGTCTACCATGTCTACCACATCTACCAAGTCTACCAAGTCCCAGCCACCCGGCGTACCCAAATGCTGCGGCCAAGGTGAAACATGTGGGCAGCTGCTTCAAGAGGATCCCATGACCAGTCGCCGTTGAAGCTACGCAGGGTATGTACATAGGCATAGAGTGCCTGGGCTGACTCGCTGACCTCTCAAAATCTCTCAGTTTGGTCATGGTCATTGCCGTACATTTGCTTATTGCACCTTATTATGATGTTCTCAAATGGGGTGAAGTCTGAATCACTTTGAAGACTTCACTTGATATAGTATACATATATATAATTATAATATATGTATATATATATATATTAGTATATATATTGTCGTCAACTGCTTGGCTCCAAAGTCATGTGCCGGAACCTTTGATAGCAACCATTTTTGGGTGGCTTTCTTCAGGGAGGTGCTTCTTTCCATGACTTTTGTTTTCCAGATTTCATGGTTCCTTGCAGGCAACCTCGAATACTTACAGTAGTTCCCATTTGCCCACACCATGACACTTAGGTTTCGTTTTTTTTGACTTTGGTTAAGTTTCATCTATTTTTCCTGAAAACAAACGACCCGCAAACATCACAACATTCATGACATGAGCAGTGAAAACCCAAGCAATAAGCACGTGGATCGGCCATCCACTGGAGCCTCTAGAAGGGTAAAGACCACGGAAGGATGAGCCTGGCGTAGGTGATTTTGGGGATTTTGGGGATCAAAAAATGCGACAGAAATATGGAGGTTTCAGCATCAACATTTTGGGGTTTCACCAAATATCATGGGTTTTTCCTAGTGATATCTAGGAAAAACCATCATCCGCAATAGGATGGCACATCTCCCTCATATGAAACAGCCTCATTCTCTGGTCCCAAATATATCTATAGTGACCGGCTAAAAGATAGAATATTGTACTCTTAGTCGGGACAAGATAGAAAATAAACAAACACAGGGTCTCGCACCCACAAGATAGAATATTCTGAAATTAAAATAATCACAAGATAGAATATTCTGAAATTAAAATAATCACAAGATAGAATTTCGATCTTTTCGCCGGTCGGTATAGATAATTATGGAATTGGGGGGAAATCCCAGTAAATCCCAGTAAAGCTGCGAACGCCTCTTTTTACAAATCAGCTAAGCCAACATGCCAAGTGGACTCCCTCCTGCCACGGTTTATAAACATGTGATTCGTCCCCCTACTAAACCATGGTCTCTGGGGTGTGTGTGTAATATATGACTGGGGAAAGGGATTAGTGATCCTACATGTCAACACATATATATATATATGTACAGTTATAATGCTTGTATATATTGAATATGTTATATGTAAAAATGCACTATACATTTTGTGCAAATACAAATACATATACTGTGTATACATGTATATAGATATAATTGTATGTATGTATGTATGTATGTATGTATGTATGTATGTATGTATGTATGTATGTATGTATGTATGTATGTATGTATGTATGTATATGTGTGTATGTATGTATTTATGTATGTATGTATTGTAATGTAATGTAATCTAATCTAACCCAATGTAATGTAATGTAATGTAGTGTATGTATGTATGTATATTGTATATACATTAAAGATAATTGTATATATGTAAATACATATTGTATGTATATATAATATATCTATATATTTATATACACATAGTATATATATGTACATTGTATATATACACATTGTATATATATATTGTATATATATATATATATTGTATATATATATATTGTATATACATAGTATATACATTTGTATGTATGTATATATATATGTATGTGTATATATATATATATACATTGTATATATATAATATATATATATATTGTATGTATAACATGTTCGCTGCAACTCTGACGTTGGGCCGCGTCTGACTTCAGGTGGCTATGAAGAAAAAGTTGATGTTATATTACTCCAATCAACATATTGTTCATAGGGGGTGGCACATTTTGATCCCTTATGAAGATAAAGTTGATGTTATTGCACCAACCAACATATTGTCATAGGGGGTGGCTAATTTTGACCCCTCATGAAGATAAAGTTGATGTGATTACCCCAGTCAACTTATTGTTCATAGGGCGTGGCAAATTTTGATCCCTCATGGAGATATAGTTGATGTCATTACCCCACTCAAGATATTGTTCAGAGGGGGTGGCAAATATTAATGTGATGATGATCATGATGTGATGATGTGATGATGGTGATGATGATGATGATGATGATGATGATCATGATGATCATGATGATCATGACGATTGTAGGTGTGGAGCAACGTCCGGGTTGGGGCGAACATATGTTTTATGTATATAATATACTATGTATGTATATATCTATATATAAACATACATATTATATGTATATATATATAAACTATCAATAGCTGATCTGTATTTTTCTGTGGGAGATAAAACCGCTGTCAGACTTTTGGTCGCTGCCTTCCGGTCACCGCTCGCACTGCAGCCTTGCACGGACTTCCCGACCATCAGCTGCGAAGCAAGAGGCAACGGATTCCAATATGTCATGGCAAAATGGATGGTTTATAGTGGTTTACAGTGGGGATACCAACAAATGGATGGTTTATAATGGAAAATCCCAATCTAAAATGGATGATTTGAAGGTACAGCCATTTTTGGAAACCCCCGTATGTCAAAATTGAAGACTCCTGAGTGTTGTTTGGTGGTCTTCCTCTGAACTAGTCCGTATTTTGCCAAATTCCGCCTATTTGATGGGAAATTCACCATCATAGTTATACCATGTTATACCACATCCATCATTCCCATCTGCAGATGGAAATCTTCCAAATCTCACTGCGATCATTGAGTCCCCGAACAAAGGTGCTCTGGTGGATTCTGGTGAAGTCGCTCATCACCTCGGACATCAAAGCCGTCGGTTTCAACACAGCAAGTTGATCCGTTTTCGGAGAATTTGGTCCATCAGACCTCATTAAATCCCATGAAATCCCCATGAGTTCGGAGTATGATGGAGTATGTAACATGTCTTAAAATGCCGGGAATTGATGTGAGAGCGACCAAGCATTGGGACCAAAATTCAGAGCGCATGGAATTGGCGGATTTGAAAGGTGTCTGCATGCTGGTTCTTGAGACTTTCAATCTTGGAAATCATCCAAAAGATTGGATACTTATGGATAGTCTCAGTCACCCTGTATGGTTGCTGCTAGAAATCGCTATGTTCAGTCTTTATTCTGGTGCTTCAACACACCGGCTATAAATACCACCAAATTTTTTTCGGGCGATTTGACTACGTATATTTGGGTATTGGATGTGGGTTAAAATTTGGCGTCCCAGAAAACATGCGAACCGGTCAAAACCCTGGGACCCAGGTGACTTTCTGAACTCCACTAACATATATATATATATATCAATTTACAATTAAATACATAAATATATACAAATATGTTAGACACTATATCTACAGTAATATACACATCAGTCTGATCGTTTGTTAATCCCTTCTTTTCTCAGCTTTGACTAACTTACGACACCGACGTCCCCCGTGCCTCCGATCTCGTCATCCAGTGACATCAAGTCGATCACAGCAGTTTTATGCCACCTAAGCCCGTTGAGATGAATCCCGGCCCGTTGGCAAGGCATGGCAAGGCAACATCTATATCTATCATATATATATAGATAGGATAATTGTATATGTATATATGTATATATGTCTATAAATGGAATGTCTTAATCTCTATATATATATACACTATATATATAGAGCATGTAATCATGAAATATACTGTACATCTATTGTATCTGGATCTATTGAAACTTCTATTGGAACGCAGCAACAACGGGCTTGGCAGATTACTTATGCATTTGGACATGATGGTAACGTTCCAAACTACGTGGATTTGTCATCTTTTACCCGTTGGATCTTTAGCCCTGAGGCTGAGATTTGGTGCTTAATACAACATCAACTAGTTCAACTAGTTGATATCTGGCTCCCTCTAATCCTGAAACAAAACAAAATCATCCATCTGGGCCATCGCACCAGGGCTCCCATGCTCCCAGAGCACGACCCAGGTCGCCCGCTTTCAACTCGCTAAAGAAACGTTTCGCCTTGGCCCAGGCGAAACGTGGATCGTTTCAGGACGGGATCGGGACGGTATCCCCAGGTCGTTCATTGCCCATGGCCTCCTCCTCCGAGAGATCGTCCAGGTTCAACAATCCACGTTCTGCCAGGGCGGCTAAGGCCTGCGATTGGGAAAAAACCAACTGATTACTAAGTTCCAAAAACTTCAAACATCTTCAAACCATGTGGATGGGATGTGAATATTTATGATTATTTATGTAAGTATCCGGTTCTCTCTGTTGGTCATGGTGTGTACATATACATATTTATATGGACAGTCACACGAGTACCAGAAGCGAATACAATCTTGGTATCTCATGTCTCTTGTTTTCCAAATCTGGCCTTCACGAAATGGCACTTGTGCGACCACCCGCCTCCAAACGATCATCAGAGGGACCATCTTCTTCCTCCTCCTGGCAGCTTCCAGCAATTGAGCGCCCAAAAAATGGACAGGTAGATGAAACATAACAAACATTAGCCATGTAAACAACAAAATGTGGGTTGGATATGGTTGGATCATTTTCAAGCATTTCCTAACCACTCTGATGCAAAGAAGATTTGCTGATTAAATTTGTCAGTGCATAAAGTTTTGAGAATCAGAGTTGAGGCCACAAAAGTGTGTGCCATACCAATTGCTACTTGGGGGGCCGCAGGCCGCAGAAATCACCCAAAACCCAGCTCTGTAAACTTGGATATCGAGCCACCCCGCCCCAATCATTCCAGATAGGGATGGAAGTTGGTTGACAGCATCAACCAGCATCTTTCTGCACAGCATCCGGGACTTTTGTCAAGCGCCAGAGATCTTCAGATGCTTGGTGCCACGGCCATTAGACCAACACCCAGCGCCAGCAGGAGCATGTGACTCGCTTTGGAGTGTCCAGAGTGGATCTTCTTGGTTAACTTCATCGCCAGTGTGAATCCTCGACGGGTGCCACTGACAGAACTTTTTGGGAAGGCCTGGTTTCGGTGGAAAAAAAACTCAGTGACTCAGGAGTGCCGCAAACATCGTCAATTCCTGCTGTTTTCCAGCATCTCCATCGAAAGAAAGCATCGTTGCCGGATTGAGCCAACAATTGGGACAGACTTTCGTCAACAAGTCAACAGACATACATTTCAGTACAAAGTGAAGGGGATTTCACCAGTGGCTTTTTTCGCACCCAGCCCCACAGGTTTCTAAAAAAAGCAGGACTCCAAGCGCTTCCACCAATAAGCCACCAATCTGCATCATGTCAAAGGATTCGTGCATTCGAATCACCTGAGGTTGGGGAAATGTCCGAACTGTCCGGGTGATGAATAGAAGTGGAACGAACCTGCAGTTGGCAGCTGAAAAACAAGCCACCTGCTCTCCACACTGATGCATTAGTCCCTGGCAATGTTGTTGTTGAACAAAATCTAAGCACAACCTGAAAAGTGACACATGAATTCCCATACCATTGCTTTCTGGATAATGATTGATAGATCTATTGATGTATCACTTGATATCACTGGTGCAAATTGACCAACTAGCGTTTCAGATACAATTACATAGAATTAGAACAACAATTGCCCCAATGAGAAGATCTATTGGATGGATCTTATACATAATCATATCATTGTATATATCACTCATGATAGATCTATCTTATGTGATTTTTCATGATATCCATTAGATATCATAGATCTTATATCTTATACATTAGATATCCATTAGATACCATGATATATAGATATACATTATGTGATTCAATGACATCCAATATACATAATGATAGATCACTAATTCACTAAAAATCCAATATCCAATTTGTATAATATATCACTTGTGATAGATCTTATACTTATAATACTGATACATATATCACGTATATCACTTCAACAGACTCGGCGCACAGGGCGCGCACGGGCCCTCACGGCTCACCTTGGATGCCAGCAGGGATACAGCACAGCCTTCAACATAGCCCGCCAAGATGTCCAGCCAGTGATGAGCCAAGAAATACCTCGCTCGACGTCGAGACGAGTCGAGACGTTGTGAAGTGGGTGAACTATCTGGAGCATCAACATACACCAAATGTATGTTAATATAATATTAACACATATACATATATATATATGACTATATCTATATAATTCTATACCTGTATCTGTATCTATATCTCATGATGCCTATATCTGCATCTCTGTATCTTTTTCTATATGGGACTATATATATATGTATATGGGATTGTCGGATGGAGTGTCTCGCAATTTCAACATATGCCAAACAACTCCTGGATCGCCCAGGCGCACTCGGCCAAAACCAACCTGGGCTCTCGACCAAAATCAAGGTACGACAGAGCGAGCTGCAAGGAATCATTTATAGTGGATTTACCCGTTGAAAATTGTGATTTTCATTGATTTTCCATAGCTATGTTAGTTTACCAGAGGGTAAAATCAAATAGAGGCAATTGGGTTATCGTGGTTCCACTCTTATTGTAAGGTTTCCAAGGTTTCCAGTGTCCTTTCTTACGGTTCCAACGCCGTCACAGTTCCTCCAATCTCAGCAAAGCTTGGTTCCGGAAACGTCTGGCGAGTTTTCCCACGAGTAACTGAAACTGCCCGTCCCGGAGACAACTGGAAGCTTAGGGAGAAGCAATTGGCTTTGTGTCAAATGGGGGATGCGAAGCAAGATCTCCATCTTATTCCATGTTCATGGGAAGACATTTATTACAATATATATCAATATATTACAATGATAAACCAGATTATTTTCTTCGGTGCTGGTACTTCATTTTGAGACCAGTATCACCCAGTTGAGTCGTTTTTGATCGTGAAAGGGGACGCGACGAGAAGACAAGTCGGATGGCTGATGTTGGAAATGTATGGACATGTGGGAAAAGCCTGGCTGCCATAAACCTACCATGACTGAGGATGGTAAACATAATAAAACTCATAAAGATGGTGATGACTTAGGGATGGTGACTATGGCAGCCAGGGTGAATCCCACATTCCAAAGTCCTGCTTTTGTACCACTCTTTCTACATGACCACGGCAATATACATGGCATGATGGCGTACCTTCTCCACCCCTCAATGAAGTCATAGTGCCATCGATATCCATAGATATCCATAGATCATGGTGCTTGTACCTGCCCCAGAAGTTTGCCATCTTTCCCTAGCGCCTCCTGATTCAAGGCCCAGGAAACATAGAGCCCTAAGAGCCACCAGCCACTTCCGCAGCCAGCCAGGGCCAAAGAGGCGCCTGTAACACTCCCTGCCATAGTGTCACCCGAGGGGAAGGCGGCACCATCCTTGGCAGGTTGCAGCATTCGAAAAAAGGGGAACCTTGCGACATTCTCAAAAAGTTTCGGTCTGAGAAATACATATTTGAAGTATTTTGAAGTATACTATATAATATTATATAATATATATTATAATACTATGGTTTCCATTTGAATTTCTACTGACAATCTACTTGAAGGTACAGGGCACTCAAGAGTACTTCAGCATACTTCAACCACTCAGGAGCTTGGTTTCCATTGACACCCGTCCAACCATGACCAGTTTCCGCATGCGAATCCTTGGGGATGATGGTCTTGAAAAGCCGCTTCACCTATGGCACGTTGCTTGGCATCCCATGGCCTTGTTGAACAAACATCTCACGGCCGAACAACGGCCTTATCGGTTTCGTACTACCTAGCTGCAAGAGAACATGACAGAAACAGGAGAATTTTCACTGCCATCCACTCTGCTGGCGTCTTGAGATCTGCCTCTGGTGGAGTGGGCCGTTCCCGCTGGAAGCTCATCTTCAGTACACGATTCAGCAATTGGCCATAGGACAGCGCAAACCTCGCCAGTGATCGAAACTCTGGAACTGTGGAACTGCCTAAAATGCACAAAGTTAGTCGGTGAAATGGATAGTCATCACATCCAATAAAAATGGTATACAATTCCATACAATTCCCCAACAATTGTATTTTAGGATTTGAATGGATTTGACCCATGCTACCCAGTATCCATTTTGATATCCTCATTTCCCTGCAGTTATCTGCATCGCCAAGCAACAGAACTACGCGTAGAGGTTGGAAACCACAACAAACGCCAGCAATTGCCAAAGAAATGCCAACCCCTTCCTGGTGGCATCTTTCAATAAGCCCTTAAGGTGCTCATGGCTGGAATAGGGGCTTCAACAAGCACTTCCCCGGATGTGACTGAAATGCAGGATTTTCTCACGTACTTGTAGGGGAAACATGAGACAACAGCATCTTGTGCCGAACGCTTGGAAGATGACGATAGTTCCCCTTTCTAAGGCAAAATTATGCTATGTCGAATCTGATTGACTGATACGGTATGTTGAATAAAACATCACAAACTGTTGCCATGCCTGAAATTTGGGATTTCCAGCTTGATTTTCAATCCGTGTGCTGAGTATTTCAGTTTGTCGAAAGGTCAACAAGGCAGCGATTAGTCCCTGAGAACCATCTGATCTTATGCTTGTTGCCAAATTTGGGGATTAAATCCTCATGTAGGTGTATACATAGCTATAGACTATATATATATATATATCGTATAAATAAATAAAATAAATAAAATAAATAAAATAAATAAATAAATAAATAATTAATTAAATAAATAAAATAAATAAATAAATTCACATGATTACAAATGATTACTGTGTGTATATATATATGTATACACATTGACTCAGCTTTGCAACCCAACAGCACAGGCAGGGTTGGACTCCGCCAAGCAGTCACTGCCAAGCAGCCCAGCTGAAGGCCAGAGAACCTCCGGCCAATGGAATTTTTCAATGATGGGATCGTAAAGTATAGTAAAGCAACATGATACTACTTATGGTCAATTTATGGTCAATTTATGGTCAATTTATGGTCAATTTATGGTCATATATAGTATAGAATCAACATGATTTTGATTCTACCATTTATGGTCAATAAAAATGGTCAATAAAAATTGTCAATTTATGAAAATTTGAAAACATGATCGTTTACTGCTGTTTTACTCTAATATTAGTCACTAGTCTAACTCTGGATGATTCTGGGGTACCCCTACTTGAATGTTAGGACTTTTACGAACCACCCAGACCACCCATATCCGGAATATCATCTATAAATGGGGATTTCACCAACTTTAACCGACAAAAATAGGAATACAATCTGATCCCCCTATCACAATTGACAATAAGCTTGCAAAATGGACCCCCGCAAATGAACAAATTCAATACCAAACTGGGTTTATGGGCTGGTTTCTTGATACGGGGAAGTGATGAGTCAACTGGGATCATCTGGGATCATTATCTCGTTTTCACATTTAACACAAATGAATAACGCAAATGCACATGAACGCCACGTTTCAAATCCTCCCTGGTTTTGACCAAAATCACGATCTGCCTGGATAAATCAAGACTTCTAGGTATCCCAAGGACATGGACTGCGCTCGCCGCGTCCAAATCACATCCAGCTCTAACAATCGCGACAGCGACATGGCGTCGGCAGGATGTTCCAAGCTGATTGGGGTGGCTTTTACTATTCGTTGTCTCAGGTATTCCAACTACTGGGGGTTCATGTCTTCCACCTTTGAACCAAGAATCCAACTTTGGTTCAAAAATCCTCTTGGGTCCCTCGGTTGCAAAGCTGTTCAGTTCACTAGTGAACCGCTGAGAGGCTGTAGATTTTGATGGATTTTGGAGGTCAAAAGAAGTTTGGGACACATTCAAAAAACGTCAACAACCTATCAACATGGCTAGTTCTTACAACAGGCGCTCAAAATCTTAAACAGCTATCAAAATCTCTTGATGGTTAGCCCGACTTATCAGAATGGTGTTGACTAGTCATTGTTTCTTCTCCCACCTTTTGAAGCATTTTAGCAACACCACGCACCACCCATTTTCGACAGTTGCTCCTCATCATCCTCAGCCTGATCCAAACTGGAGAGGGACATCAGGACCTGGTGCTGTAGCGGGGGTTGGAGACGGTGAGGGAGGCAGAGAGTCAGGACTTTTGGGAAACACCAAATCAATTCTGGAGGGACATCACATTTCCGTATGTATGTGTATATATATACACATACGTATACATAATACATTGTAATACATCATAATACCGCATATAAGACAGACAAACACACAGTATTCAAGTGCCACCAACCGATCCAACAAGAGATTGGTTGCCTCTCCGACTGTCATATCCCCATGGATCGTAATAGCTCCAGTGAAGCCATGAATTTCCACAGGGCCTTCTCCAGGCGTCGCCGTTCTTCATCATCGATCTTCTGACTCTTGAGCTCCTCCTCTACCTGCCACTGAGACCCTGGGGAATTCGGAGGAAGTCAGCACTCCGAAATCGAAACATTTGGCCAAATGATGGCCAGAACAACTCAATGATCAGCCGGAATACTTTCTTTTGGCATCGCAACAATGAGGATTTCAGCAGGGAATCACCAGAAGCCATGATCAAATGAGGCTTTGGTTTTACAAACAAGTGAAACCCACAGCAACTGGAATTGGACCAACGAAGTAGGGAAACGGCGACGATCAAGAATGGATCTAAACCCCAAACATGGGAACATGAATGACATACATTGGAAATTCAAGGCTTGCAATTCAGAACAACGATCCCAAAGACCTTTTAACATTGTTTTAGAGCGTCTCTAAGATGCTTGAACTATGATTTTCGCTCTAAAACTTGATCAAGAGATGGGTCTCATGATTTTTCCCCACAAAATCAAGCTTTTTTTTGTTGGGGGTAGATGCACTGAGCACCAAACCAAGATGTATGCTGCATGCTGGTTAACCTTGACTAATCTCCCCAATTGGTATACCAGAACGCAGCTTCATTAGTTAGTGAGTAGTGTATTCAATCTCAAAATTCATCAGAATACTAATATATAATCAATATAATCTATACATATATAATTTTAGAATATAATTATAATAGATATTTAATATAAACATCTACTTTCTTACAGTAAAACATTGCTGTTTAAATCACGCCCCCACCTGTGACTTGTAGAAGCTCTCGGTGCACTTGCCGCTATGCGCCTGGAGTTACTCTGGAGCCATCGGGGCAGCCATGGGAAGATGCATCTTTTTTGATGGAAAATCCCATTAAAGATCCCATTCAAAACCATTCAAATCCCATGGAAATATATGGAAATATATGAAAATATGATGGAAAATCCCATTAAAATGGATGATGATCCCATGACAAAAATCCCATGAACATATTTCTGAAAATCCCATCTTAAGATGCAGAATCAGATGGTTCAAGATGCTGGATAAATGCTTTATGATGATTTAATCGCACTTACCGCTTATTGTGTTTTTTTTTTCAGAGGGACCCTGTTGCTGCCGCCCCACACCTGGTAGCAGCTGAGACTGCAGTATGCAGCTTGACATCTTGGACACGTGTAGCGTGCCTGGAAAAAACCATCTGCCATCAAGGAGGATGTGGATTAAAAAACATGGAACAACTCATGTCAAATTATGATTGTGACTGGGATTAATTATCTGTCGTGACTGGGATGAATTGTGATTGATTGGCGCTTGAAACCCTGCTGCACTCTCCAGCAATTATTCGCTAGTTATAAACATCCTGTTGTTGGAGCTCCTTTCAATGTCATGTGATGGGGAAGACGTCTGAACTTTGGGAAGGACCCAGCCAATGGACATTCCTTCCGTGGGTCATGATAGTCATGGGATTGTTAGCATCCATGGCGGCAGAAATCCATCAGTACTGCTTTGAATACCAAGAGTCTTTGTCTGAAAGGGCATTGCATTCCACTTGTGAATCATCATTTTTATTCATTTTTCACATGTGGCCAGTTAGGAGCTTTTATTAATATAGCTGCTCATTACACCACTTCTTGGGAACCCAAGTGCCATTTGATCTGTTCCACTGCCTCTGTGCGAACGCAGACTGTACAAACTGCCGGCATGGCGTCGATGGGTCAAAACTCTGGTCAGTGGATCGAAAAAATGCGAATTGGCGACCCAAAATCGGGGACCTATGGACCTATTAAATCTTATTAATAAACCCTGTGGCGATTTGACATAGCTATGGAAAATGGTCCATTTATAGATGATCATTTATTATGATTTACTTTTTAAACATAATGATTTTCCATAGCCGCGTTAAATAACCCGAGGGTACTTAAATAATGTGTTAGTATAAAGATTATGTACTAAGGCTACTAAAGCGTTGATCTTTTTGGGGGAAATGATGCCGAACCGTACTCGCTGGCAAACGTCTAGCTCTTTTATGTTTGTGACACTTGAGTGACTGGGGTGGTGCGGGTGGAACGACCACCGAAGAATTCAGTATGTTGCGAACTCCCAGAATTTTGCAGTTTAGTTCAGCCAGTAGCTTGCAATGAAAGCACGATGTGAAAACCGGATAACTATGCCTATAGTGTTTTACACTGCCAGTTACGGTCAATCACCAATCGAAATAACAATGGGCAAAATGTGCCCTCACAACATATTGTCCCATTTCGGACTGATACTGGAGCCATGAGTTTTGGCGAGATCTGTGGGTGTGTTCCAAGACCTCCAAAGGGTGGCTGCTATAACGTGTGGGTAGATTGCAGGAAGCTTCCACAGCATTTTTCCCACTGATTTAAGAGATAAGCTACAGGAATTCCACAGTTTTACCATTGAAAGCAAGATTCCTGCTGTCCCCAAATACCCTCTGGTAAACGTTTACATAACGAACTGGAAAATCACCATGTTCAATGGGTAAATCCATTATAAATCACCATTTTCAATAGCAATGTCACAAATTACCAGAGGGTAAATCTCCCTTCATCTGTCAAGCAACTTTCCCATCATCTCATCCCAGCAAGTTGTCTTTTTTCTCGCCGTCCGACACGCCATCACCACCAGGTGTGCCGCTGTGGTGCCATTCAGCTGTTGATTAGCCATGGGGCACCAAAAGAGGCCCTGGTGGATGGGACAGCTGTTTTTGTTGAGCACCAGAGTGTCGGAATGGGATAGCTCTTCGAAGACATGGAACCATCACTTATCCATAAATATCCATATTCCTGCATCAATTGAGACACAACATGACACAACTAGTCATCCAATCAGCACTATTTTCATTAGTATCGCTGCTTTCGTCGCATTGCTATGTCGCTTCGGCCCCTTCACTTCCATCTGTCCTGTCGATGCATTTGTTCCCGTCACTGCAAACTGGTGGTGACCCTGCATTCTTAAGCCTAAACTCGTCACAAAACCGGAGAACGAAGATGGGAATTCTAGCTGTGCAGCTTCTTGCAGTTTGGACTCTACTCTCTACTTCTTCAGAATTCTCTAGAATTCTACTTAACCATACACCAACCATATATCAACCATATATTAACCATATCTCAACCATGGATTCTGAGTGAACACATCCTTATCTTTCTCAGCCAAGATTACATGTGGATCGAGCCGATGACCTGCAGCCACACAAGGACACTTTTTTCGTGTCCTTCTGGGTCCCTGAACTGAAGATACCCAAGTGATTCAACTCTTATTTAAGCATATATGCAGCATATGATCATATATGATCATATATGTACCAGGTTTTTTTATGAAACCACATCCATGAAAATCCGATATTTTCTGTACACTCCAAACACTTGTGCTGCATCCAGTTGATCCCCGGGTCCTGGAGAGCCTTTCGCGAGGCAAAGAAAGACACCGCGGCCCAAACTGCCAGCACCAAACCGACCTCCGTCGGCACCCATGGTGACCCACTTGCTATCCATTTACAGGTGGCATATTGGAAAGCTGCAAAAATGTGGACCTACCCTCTGGTCAACGTTGACGACATAACGAAGTGGAAAGATCCACCATGCTATTTTCATGGGAACATTAATGAGAACATCAACGAACTAAATTGCCATTTTCAATAGCTATGTCACAAATTACCAGAGGGTATGTTAGCCTATGTTGGTGGATCCTCAGCGACAGGTCATCCAGGCCAGGCCTGGAAAACCATCCATGGGTGAAGCATGACCACTATCAACCCTTTTTTTCAGTCCCAGCATCGTGGACATGAAGCTTAGCATTATTCAATCTGAGTATATCTGAGTTACTCAGTTATCCCATGTGTAAACTAACCAAACTAACCACATCTAACCAATGTTTTAGTAACATCCAGTTACATCTTTTCCCCAGATCTCGTTCTACCCCGTCTTGAGTGATTTCTGGGCACACGGCAGAGCCGTAGAGCAATGGATAGTTGAAGCCAGGGCCTTGCGAACCGATCCGGATCCTCTGAAACAACATGAACTCACCATAAATCGCTCATCTCCCCTCATCTCAAGATCTAAACTATAAGACTATGCCTTGCGGAAACGTGGCAACTTCCGCAATCTACCGAAGTTCTTGGTCTTCTGGGGGAAATGGCGAATCAACACCATCTAATGACCTGATGCACCTGAAAACGGTCTCACAATGAGTCACAGAAATTTTAGCTGTTCCTCATAGACAGAAAAACTCCATAGGCACGAATGCACACTCTTCATGTTGCAAGGAGAAGCCACTTCCATAGCAGAAATACTATGCGATGCTTGATCTTTAAGCGTTTTTCCGTGTTCACTGGGCCGCCGGTCTCAGGACGTCGTAGGCTTTGGCACTTTGGAATGGCGTGAAGAACAGGTCCAAACCATACGCGAAGACCTGGCCAGCAAGTCAGGGCCTACCTCCACAGCAGAGACTGTGTGGGAAAGCCAGTGCATAGTACCCAACACCTTCGGATGGTTGAAATCTAAGATAGTCTAAGCTATTTTTGGAAAGTCGTTGGGGCCAATGATTTTGGCATTCATCAAATCTTGGTTCAGTGACATCCACGTCTAAAGTGCCACCGTCCCCGACTAATCGAACAAAGCCATGCAAGGCGCCACCAAGGACGTGGACCTGGCAAAAACGGAGAAAACTTGGTGTTTTGATGCGTTTTTCTACCTGTTCATTCTGGGTCGAGTCATATTGGTAATGATTAGGGTCAAGGGAAGGGAGTATAGAAGCTTTGATTGAGACACATGTGAAAATACATATATATATATATACATACTGGTATATATATATAATTATATATATCATATCATATTCTTGATATAAAGAGTCCTGGGGTGGATGTTCGCCATTCTTGATAAACCATGCTGTCTTTCAAGTTCGATCGTTTGATCCAGTGTAATATTGGTTTACCTCACCACTTTTGTGGCTTCAATTTGTTGGATACTCCAGTGTCAATACACATCCACGAGTTAAAATCAGTGCTCATCCACGAATAAACTCCCCCGTGCCGGTCCCACCCAGACCGTATACACCTTCATGGCTTTCACTAAATCAAATTGCATAAAAACCACCATAAATAAAACAATCATAAAACAATCATAAAACAATCATAAAACAGCTGTATCTCCGATTTTTTCCAAGTTTTTTTCCAATGAAAGGATCTTTTTGAGTCGTTTTTTTGGATCAACGGAGCACATCCCGGCGGTTTTTCCCACGGGATCCCCACTCCAAGGCGGTAGGGGAGGAGGCAATGCCAGTGACGCGGTGGAGGGCCTCATGAAAATGTCATCAGAAGATTGACGATATTTTGGATGAACATATCAGAAAAACTATCAGATAACTAGTTGATAACTATCATTCTTTTCGGATGAAGATCTTTTATGTCAGATGATTATCAGTGGTAAACTGATATAAAATGATATATATATATATATTATATATACATATTAAAAACAACTATCCTTATGTGCGATTAGTCTTAATAGTAGTATCATGATCATGGTGAGTAAAGCAAATTTTGTCTGCAGGTTTGTGACGGTATGTGTGATGATGATTGTGTTTGTGATGATGTTTGCAATTAATCTTAATAGTATCATCATGATCGTTGTTTGTATCGGCCTTACGGACGTAGTATGCATTACTATAATCATAATCATGATGATGATGATGACGACGACGACGATGACGACGAGGACGATGACGATGACGATGACGATGACGATGATGATGATGATGATGATGATGATGATGATGATGATGATGATAATGATCTTTGATAGCTCATTTGACAAAATTAAACCTCATCAGCAAACGGGATGCAACCAAGAACGACGGTAATGGGGAGGTGAAACCCTTAACCTGACCAAGAGTGCTTGGTCGGGCTTCTACGGGCTTCTACCTGTCCAGAGTCCAGACTCTGATGAAATAGTCATGCAGCCTGCTGCAGCCTCTTTGGCCCCCGAACATTGTGGTAGTTCAGCATCTCTGTGTGTTTCCATGGAATCAATGGAGCATAAGGTGGAAGAGGTTCTTCCTGTGAGGCAGCCGTTGTGTCAATCGTCTAAGCTACTGCGGCTACTGAGTGCTACTGAAGTTTGATCCATTTTGATCCATAGTTCCTGTCCCTCAGTCCCCAAACTAAGCTGCAAAACTCTGGCTTGGCTGTAGACATCCGTAGACACCAGCAATGAGAGGTGAGTCAATGGTAGAATCTCCCTCTGTTGCAACAAATCTTGTGACTGTGAAGCCCTTAACAACTGAGGTTGTGATTGAGTGATTCAGACCATGTTTGGTTGCTGGTTCTAACCCTTCCTCCGAACATGAGATCAGTATCCCTTTTTTAGGCATGGCAAATACTCAATCACAACAACTAATCTGTACACATCTCCACACAAAAGTTTAAAACCACCAGCCATGTGGGTTTGCAAAACAACAGGGTACCCCAAAACCCAAAGGTGGTCATTGGAACCCAACTGGAGATAAATCAATCATTTCTGGCGACCAAACCAGACGCTTTTTGGTTGAACGCATGGGTATCCATCTTCAAACTATGTATCCACTAACATCCAATATATTAGTAGTATCCCCACTACATTCCCATTACCAATTCCATGAGTGTTGGTTAAATCTTAAGCCCAACATATTCCAGAATTGGGAGCTCAAACAAAACTAGTGTGTCTCCAATATATTCCCAACATCCCAACAAAATCGTTGGTCGAATCCCAATTTATGGAGATCGTCAGCCTCTCAACCGCCACTCTGCTCCTTGGTGGGTGCGAACTGAGAGGGCACCGTCTTCTTGTCCGCGGGCGCCGTGGAGGGGTAAGGCCTGAAGAACGGGGGGTAGATCTTGGGGAAAACTGCCAACAAATGTGAAAATTCACAGAGACTTTGGGTGAAAAAAACCAGGTCAAATTGGTTGGATGTTGAACCTAGTTGGTGGGTGCGTTTTGTGCCTGAAGAATAGTAGTCATTGCTGATGATCCTGTGAGATATTTTTTTTTGAAAACTACTATGGGAAACAAATGGAAAAATGACGTCAACATACACATGTGTAATCATGTGTATATACATATACAATAAAGATTCAAAATGACGAACATATATATATACACATATATATATATATTATAAAGTAATATAATATAATAAAATATAATGAAATATAAACTAATATATAGTACAATATATAGTATAACATAGGCAATATAATATATTAAAACAACATATAAAATATAGTAAATCAAAAAATATGTTGTATAAAATAAATAATGAAATAATATATCATATATTATACAATAAAATACATACATAATATAATATAATATGATATGATATAATATAATATAATGAAATATAAAATATAATTAAAAAATAATACAATATAATATAACATAATGTAATATAATATAATAAAATGTAAAACAATAAATATATATAATCTAATATAAAATAAAAAAATATTAATATATAATAAAATATATTATATAATATAATCTAACCTAGTACAATATAATCTAATATAATATAATCTAATACAATATAATCTAATATAATATAATATAATAATTTATATACTATAATATATTATAATATATTATAATATATTATATTATATTAGATTATAATATATTATATTATATTATATTGTACTATATTATATTATATTATATTGTATTATATTATATTATATTATATTTTATTATATATGATATAATATATTATATTATATTCTAAAAAAATATATCATATTTTATTATATACTATACAAAACAAAAAAATATTATTTTATTTAATATAATATAATCTATAATATAATATATGATATAATATATAACATATTGTAAAATGTAATATATAATATAAACTATGATACAATATAAAACATATTATATAATGTAATATATAATATAAACTATGATACAAGATAAAACATATTATATAATGTAATATATAATTAATATAAACTATGATATAATATAAAACATATTAAATAATGTAATATATTATATAATATATGCTATACTAAAATATAATGTTATAAATATACACAATATATGCATATTACTGTATCATAATGTCATTTTCCCGAAAGGCTCTCTCCCCAGCCATCCGGCCTCCGAGGATTCAGCAGATCTTTTGAGACGCGGGTGAGGTGATCTGTCGTCGAGGCCATGATGATGGACCGAGGAGTAATGCCCTGCAGCGGCCAAACTTCGTGTTCTGTTGGGGATGGTTGAAACATGTTAGGTTAAATCACCAATTTTTAATGGAAACTAGTATTCCAACCCCTATCTGCCAGGGTCTATGTTAATTTACCAGAGGGTAAACCTAGCCATTGAATTGGCGAAATTGTTTGGATGCTAAAGCCTAATATATTTTCCCTCATTCATGTCATGGTCATTCTCGGACTCGTCTTTTTTCAGCAATGAGTGTTGGCTTCTGGAATGTTCTGGATGAGCTATGATAGTAATTCACCAAGCTTGAACATGATTTCATGACTTCACCAACATCAAAAATAATGAAAAATCATGCGCCTCAGGTCTTTTAGCGCTTCCCCTGGCACCCCCCGGCTCTTCTCCCGGGTCTTCCCCGTGTTTTTTTTCGCCTTCAGGGTGGCGGTGACACCCATGGCTGTCACACCTGCTGGCATGATGTAGGTCTGCTGCAGAGGGACCTCGACCAAGGCGGGGATCGGAGGCTTTGCGATGGTTTTTTGTGGCTGAAAATTGTTGACTACCAATTCTTAGCCACAAATAGCCACAAATTTGGCGACAACCTGCAATCTCAAAGGAGTAAGATACCAAAGGAATCCAAAGGACATATTCAATGTTTAACTTGACGTCAACTCAGAAGCTACAAGTGGGGCATGTTTGGCAAAGACTCTTAAATGGATTGAAGCCATCAGCCGAGCCAGGCCCACTTGAGCTCCCAATTTTGGGATAGTCACCACTCAAGCGGATGACTCAAACATACCCGGGCAGTCCGGACTGGTCGCTCCAACTGGTGTGCGCTCTTGCTCCTTGCTCCCTGTGTGGTTGTCATGGCAAAAAGCGAAACTTGGGCGATCGGGTAGGGATTCTTAATCCATACAGTTACTGTATGTATGTATATATATATAAAATTATATATATATATATATCTCAATGTCAATATCATTCAATATCTATACATTTATATATCTAGCAATCTATCGATCTACCCAGTCATTATCTACCTATGCAAACAGCCACACATCCAGGCGTGGATATGGGGAAATCTCAACATTGGAGTTGGATGATCCCACACTTTTGACCACCAACATCCACTGTGTATCACAGGCCAACTCCTTCGAGTAAAGCGAAGTTCCCGGTATTCCTGCACTTGGGGGTATGAATCTACCAGAATCATCGCAAGACTTCACCGCTAAGATCACAGAAATCCTCCATTACGCCTGCTTGCCGAAGAGAATCTCCCAGGGTCCATCGTCGGCCTCAGACCAGGGGCACCCGACATGTTTCGTGTATCCGATGTTCGGACCATTTTTGTACTGGATCTTAAGAATGAATTTCTACATATTTAACTACCGTTTGTCGCTGATTTTCCCGTGTGGGGAATGCCAACAGAGGGGGAGCGAAGATACTTGAAAACACAATTGCAATCTCAGATTAACGAACCACTTGGTGGTTTCTAAAAATGGAAAATCACCAAAACCATAGGCTTCGATACTATAATTTTCTAATATTGGATGATTTGGGGGGTACCCCCATTTTAGGAAACCACTTGAAACCTCAAATTAAAATAGACCAAAGACATGGCTGTTTTTTTTCAATGCTTGTTACATGAGCTGAAGAAAATAAACGCATTTTACCAGCATTTAGGTTGGGGGGTTCAGGGTTTCGGGGGTGATATTTTTGGGAGATCTACATTGTCATTGTTGGATGTTCATGCGGACGATGATATCATGTCCATGTCCAGGCAATCGATGGCTGGTGAAATATTATGCCAGAGCTGGCTATTCAAAGCATTGCTGTTCAATATTGTGGAAAATGGACATGGACATTTTCAGTATCCAATGTATCCACATTCTTGCTCATGTCCGTGTGCTGGTGAAATATGGTGAAATCCCATTGAAATCCCATAATTTTTGAAAATTATCCCATCATTTTGTATCCAAACTGATATCATGATCCCATCGTTTTTAACATCAATCCCATAATTTTGCTGTTACAAAAATGGTGGGATCCATTGAAATATGGTATCCCCAATGGATCCCCATGGATTTTGCTGTTCAAAAAATGGTGGGATCCCCATTGGATCCCCAAGATTTTCGTGGAATTTCTCTGGTCAACTCTCCGGGATCTCCGTGACCTTCGCTTGGAAGAACTCGGTGACCAGGATTTCAAAGCGCGTCCTGGGAGGTCTTAAGGAATGACATGGAATGACTAGCCTCTGGGAATCCAAGAATTCCAAGATAACCATGGAAAATGCTGTGAAAAATGGATGGAAAATGGATGAACATGGCCATACATGGCCCATTTGTAGATGATTTACCCAATACATCCCAAACATCTGATGGTTTTCCGTAGCTATGTTAGACTACCAAAGGGTAACGATGAACTGTTTTCTGAAGGATGCTTAAACATGCTTAAAGCCCAATCAATTGAAGGAATTTGTCGATGATTCACCTCCGATTTTTGGTGCCACAGCCCCCTCTTGTTGATGGTTAAACCTCCATCGAATACTTGAAGGATAAGTGGGAGAGCACTGAGAGTCGAGGAATCTAGATACTTCTAAATTATAAAGTGCCAAACCAGATTCAGTATCCTTCCCCTTACCATTCTTCATGGTGACTTTGTTGTGTCATCTACATTGTCTACACCAAACTGGATTGTCCCCATAAGGACCAAGAACATCCAAGGATCATGGGCATAGACCGGCATAGATTGCCAATATTTGGGGAATGCCTCTAACTCAACCAGAACTGGTGAAACTAATGGTGTTTCTATCATATACGTATACTGCTTTTTGGTTTTGCTCTCATTCCCCCCAAAATGAGTCAATCAGGTGGGCAAACCACACAAGGACAGAATTGCAACAAACAGCTGAATCCACTATGCACCGGATTGGGTTGGCTAAGGGACAAACAACATGATGAGATCGGCTGTAGTTACACAAAATTGAAGTTCATGGCCCCAGCTACTTTCGAGCAGTACCACATGATTCATGCGGTTCTTGACATATAAACTATCTGAAACATTAAAACTGAAAGATAGCAAGTGGCTCACTTGCGTAACTTATCTATGTATATAATACATAATACTGTATAATTATATATATATACACATACATATGTGTATATATATATAATTGTACGGATTGTACAAAATTATATAAATGTAATTAAATATATTTGTTCAGAATGGCTTACTTGTGTCATGGTCAGACGGTCTTGAGTCTTTCTCAACAGGAGCCATCCTTTTTGGGGCCCTTGAGGCTCCCAACTTTTTGGGATTCTGGTAGTGCATCACAACCCAATTGTCACACGCCTAGGTGTGGAAAACCGTAGGGGCTCGTAGGGCCGGGCTGGGAGGTGCGAATCGGGTGAATCTTATGGTGGAATTGGTCTCCCAAAGAATCTGAGACTTCGTCTCTGGTGTAGCTTTTCTTCCAGTATCAACCGTGAGTGCTACAAAAGGATGTGAATATGCTGCAGGGAGGGTAGCCAGTGTGAAATACGTTTACCAGTGTTTGGTCAATACAAGAACTGAGGCCTCCGATATATCCCCAGTGGACCTTTGAGTCACCGAAGGTGGTTTCACACCATTCCCCAGATGGACAAAATCAAGAAACAAGCTGAAGGGCCCGCTGTCATGGTGCAGCTGGAACCAGCACCTGTACTGTACTGTCTGTCTCAACCAGTCAAATGGTTGCAATTACTCACTATACCCAATTCGGCCCTCTAGGGTTCCTTTACACCTGGGCTTGTGCAAAAATTTAAGACTACCGACCTTCCTGAAAGTTTTTAAAGTGTTTTTTTCAAGAGCAAACTTTGTTTTTGCAAAACACATGACCCATCCTCCCTGATCAATTCACCAGCGATGCAACCATAGGACAGCCAGGTGGACTGGCGAAGTGCCCCCTGCTACCTGACCTCAGGCAGTGGCGAGGCGTGACTCCAAGCCATGGCTTTCCCCGGGACCAGCAACCCATGTTGATAAAACGGGGGGTTCTCGGGGGAGTGATTTTTGCTGGAAAAGCCTTTGACAACAATATGACAAATTTAGAGTGTGATGTTGAAAAGGGGTTTGACATGAGACCTAGCTTTTGGAGCTCTCTATAAATTCTTGGGCATCCCCCTGCTTTCATGGGGTCATATTCCCGTACGATTTTCTGGGGTTTCTGCAAGGCCCTGACTTTGGTGAAGCAAATGTCCCGTGACCGCGTCCAAGGTGTAGAGGTTCAACCCGGAAGTGTCCTGTGTCTGGCTTAGGTACTGGAAAAGGAGGAGATCCATGCAGTGCGAATTTCATAGGCAAAATATGACAAAGATGATGATCAACTTATCAAATTGGAGGGTACCATAGGTTAGAAGTTCAGCCTGGAAATCTGCGGACACTCCCAATATTTGGCGCCTTCACAAGTGACACTCAGCCCTGGATTGCTCACCCTGGGCTGTGAAAAATTGGGAGGGGTACCATTTTAGTAGCGGATGATCACTATTTGGAGGACTAACCCCTAATTCATCAGCTAGTAGCTGGTGCGCCAGTTAGAAATGGGTTTTTTAAAGCCTGCGAACGAATAATATTCCCCATCGACGCTCGCCGATTTTTACCACGCTAACAGCTAAAGCCTCGGTCGCAGTGATTTTGGTCCTCGGACACGATGGCCAGGAGATTTGGGTTGATGTACTTGTAGAGGATGCTCGCATCCTGGACGAGTTCTGGCTAGCCGTGACATGGAGATCTCTTTTGGTGTACCTTTTGGGGATATGTTTGATAAGATATGTATAAATGGGGACATAGCAGGGATATGATGGGGATATAAGATGATATGAGCAACTTGACATGAACGAATAGCACAACAGCAAAACTCCATGCCAAGGTAATGATACATGATCCTGGGACATACTGTTCATGAATGTGCCTTTCAAACGGGGATGTGCATTACCCGATGGCACCACCAAGCGACAGTTTGGCTGAATTTGAAGAATCATGCCACATAGTAACTGGTTGGATCTGGTTAGTTGGAATAGAACATACATGCACTAAGCAGTCTGCTCTCTGGAAAGATCTGCTACAGAAAAAACTATAACCCACTTGTAAAAGAGATGACAGCAATCCGGAAAGTTTCTTACCATGGTTGCTTGCCACTTATGTGACCATGGTTGTTGGTCTGTGACCAACTGGGACGATACTCCAAGACCCGGCCTGCCAAGGAAACACACACACACACACAAACACACGCGACTCACCCAGCACCATCCTTCACAATGATTCTTTCCAAGTCAAGGCTTCAGAAGCAAATCACTTCCTACTCGCAAAGACAGAACGATCACTAAAACCTTCAAGACTGCTTGGGAGGGACACTCCCTTCAGGCTCTGATTAAATGCTCTGCTCAAACTCAAGATCAGAAGACTGCTTGGCAGGATGACTCGACTCGTTCCAGGCTCTGGTTGAACATACGGCCGAATGTCAGTGTCTGAAGACTGCTTGGCAGCGTCACTCTTTCCAGGCTCTGGTTGAAGCTGTAGCCCAATGTCAAGGTCTGAAGACTGCTTGGTAGGGTCACTCGTTCCAGGCTTTGGTTAAACTAATTGTTAAAAGTCAAATGTTGAAGGCTTTCCGGGGGATGCAAAGACTCTGTGGTTTGTTGCACCTGCAATGCGCGTCAATCCCTCTAGTGCAAGCTCCACCTGTGAGACTGGCAAACCATGAACAGAACACCATCCAGCATAGAGATCTGTTGGCACATAAGTGCACGAGAGTGTTGCAGCCTTGCCCACGATGCCTTGCGCCTGCAATTCCTTGTTGTGCAGCTTTTTTCCGAGGAAGTTTCCAACTGAAACCATCCGGTACTTCCCAACCACTACAGGAACCAGCTTCAACATGAGGGATTTGCCGACTCCAAGTGGAACTTGAGTCGAATGACTGCGTTGTTTTTGTAGGCGAATCAGAAAAACCTCATGGACACCTGGACAACATCTATATATTCATATATATATATACATTTCATTGCAAATCGTAGGTTTATGTATATCTAATTGTATCGTATCTACCTATGTTACTTACAAATGATCCAATGGTATCTACATGGCCAATCCAAAACCACCCGATCGCGACGGTGATCCGTGGCGCACCCCTTTGATGTGGACAGGCACGTGATCCCACTGTCGATGCTGCACAGTTGCCTTGGGTGCTGCTACTTTCATCGTGGACTTTCCATGTCTATGTAAATTTCATGAAGAACAAATGGTAAAGAGGACGGTAAAGCTATGCTATTACAGTATATAACAGTATATATCTATAATTATCTATCTATACACACTATATCTATATAATAATTAATATACACATTGTATATACAATTCCTAGAGAAGTTGGTCATTGGCTACCCCGCTTTATATATGCAGTGGGGTCATCGACCACCAAGGTTGTGACACCGTAAGCATCGACGACAAATCGAAAAAGGCTGCCTGTTGGAACCCAAAACATCTCAGAGCATCACATATAGATATGGAATATGTATGGAATCATATATATATATTATTATATATCTACTCTGTATAAATAAATATATTATATTATATACAATATATATATATATCATATCATATATCATATATCTATTATATATCATATTCATCTTTATTAATCAGTTTGTTGGAACTAATATCTATTGCATTATATATCTCAATGGAATAATCGACAAGAACACATGTCTCCTATTCTATGAATTTCCACTGAGATCCTTTCCACAGCCAAGACATTCTTTAAAGGACCAGAATAAGGAAACATCCACTTCAAGTGCCCATTAAATGAATTTCCCTCCGGCATCAAACAGAAAAGCCTGAAAAGTCTGATCACCTTGGGCCAAACCCTCCTGAACTTGCGGTCAGATCCACTGTCATCATCTTAATTTGTTGGATACCCCATGATACCCCCACTTCTTGGGTATCCAACTTCAACCCAATATATTCAGCATGGTCCCAGGATGTCCCATCTAGCTACTGACCCATCCGTATCTCCATAATTTCTTTCGTCGAATCCTCCGAACAAAACACATAAAACACCAGAATTTGACCACAGCCCAACTTTCAAAATCACTTCTTGGTTGCTTGGGCATCTTATGATATCCCGATGTCCCGATATCCCCAACTTTCCAGTTTTGGTGACCCATCTGAGCCGAGCCGACCGCTGTGAGGATCTTCTCCCCGAGGGATCCTAACCTGGCAGTGGGAACACTTGGCATGAGCCGAGCATTTCCCGAAATGGGGGTAGCCTACCAGCTAGCCCATTTTCTCATCCATTTTATGTCATTTTATGGGATTTTCCATGACCCAGCTATATATTAGAAATTTCCCCATTTCTGGAAACCACCATATGATACCATATGTATTTATTCTTTGTCAGTGAATTCTTATTGATTGTTTCACTCTTTTTTGTTTCGTTGATCTTTGTTGTTTGTTTTTTTCTTGTTCATCAGTGGAGCTGAAGGATTTCCAAGGAATACTGGGGAAAACATCGCTTGCTAAACTTAAACAATGTCCCTTATAACATTGTACCAACCAAATGAGGAATGTGATGCAATGCAATCAGTCAATCTGAGGATTTTAGCACCAATAAGACTAGATAGGGATACCACATTATAGCACAATAAGATGTTCATAAGGCAGCGCACACTGCAGCGATATCCCGGATCTCCCGGTCCCGAACGTGGCTGAAAAATTCAAGCAACCCGTTGCGGATCTACAACTCACATGAATTCATCATTCTGTGGCCTTCCCTTTTCGACCAACCCATGGCATCTCCCGCGTCTAGGACGTCCCACTCCATGTTCCAAATTGGTACCAGCTTGCTCGGCCTGGCTCCGGCCCAAACCTACTGGTTGATCAGGTTTGCCATACTGGAACCGTTATTCACTTGTTCAAACATGTCCGTTATATCCGTTATTTCGATTGTAGATATTCTCATTCAGAAAACTCACCAATCAACCAGCCATTTTGGATTACACCCCCGGTTACCCGGTTTTGATCTTTACAGAACACCTCCATACCAGGAACCAGGAACCTGCGGGGATCCAATACGCCGCGTTTCGCTGTTTCCATTTCCTCTGCCACAAATGGCGCTCCAGCAAAAGGGCAACCTTCAAAAGAAGTTGCCGATCTTCGTCACTATTTCCCACATATTTCCCACATATTTCCCATTTTGTTGCGGATCAATCCCCCCCATTGGAAGATCAAAATGGTTCTTACCATCCAATTTCCCTGCCTTTTGGTCCCATCCTTTGGCACGGCAAAGCCTTGTACCACCTGGTCTTGCAGGAACGGCAAAATCTGGGTCTGAAAACCCATTTTGTAGCAATTTCTGTGGGAGTATATTGGAATATGATGATAAACCGGAGAACTTGGGGTGTATCATTCTTTTCGGAACTCCCATATGATCATCACAAATCCCTAATCAGAGCACCTCTATCTGGGACCCCAAAATGAAAAAATGCACCCTTTAACATTTTGTTTGCTTCAAAGAGCTGCCCAAAGACATTTTTTCTGATTACGTTGGCTAGTAAGGCCAATATGATTTGCCCCAATGATCCCCAATAATCAATTTTTACTGGGGTGTTGATCCTTTGGGCATTCATTGAATCCACCTAAGGGCTTCACTTTTCCTACTGATCCAGATATTCGCAATGAGATTCCAAGTTCAAAGTGAACTCCAGCTACCTAAGATTGGGTAAGGTTTTTAGCTGGTAATAATTTTTTCACAACCATTTTAATCTATTTGTATAGACTGTATAGATGATTCTCCCATCAAAATCATTACACAAATGCTTTCCGGGACCTGATTCACGGTGTCCACTTCCCAGTGGAAAACCTTCCCAGCGGCTTCCTGGCACGGTGGATGTTCTCGCGGTCCAATGTTTAACATCTTTAACAGTTTGTTGGTTGAATATGCATTTCTTATCGCCTAGATCTCTCCATACCTGTCCCCACATCATTCTCTTGCAAGTACGAATTATATGAATACATGTGTATATATATATATGAACACATGTGTATATATATATGAGCAGGGGCCCCCACACCCCCCCCCCACCCAGCCAGACACGACCACGCCTAACCCTTATATTAAGTTGCCTTTCTAACCCTTATACTGCAAATTCATTACCATTACACGCATGCTTTTCTAACCCCATGGGGAATCTAACCCTTGAATAAAAAATTATATATAATATGTAAGATATAAATAGAATATATGCAATCTATATATATAATATATATATAATTATATTTGACATATATATATAGAACATATATATATATATACATCGTATATGTGGTTTTTGATAGAATATAGATAGTATATGCCACATGTGCTGTATCCACAGTAGATGTAATATATACAATATAGGTAAATATGTTCGTTGAATAAATTTTACATAGTATATGTGGTATATTGAATATCGCTATAGGCGGTTCGAAAAAAAGGTTATGATAGAAATATACAGGTAGACAAGGTCCGTTGACGAGGTTGTGGCTCTCAAGTGCTGCAAATAACGTAGAGATGCGAGGTTGGAGGGGTGGAAAGGGGAGTATATATGTGTATATGTGTATGTATATGTGCAAATAACATGCAAATACTAGGTTTTGGGGGGGTGGGGGGGGTTAGGAGTGGGGGGGGGGATATCATTGGGGGGGGAGGGGGGGGGGTGTGGGGGGTCCGGGGACCGGGCTCATATATATATATATATGCATATATATATGCATACATCTGTACATACCATGTACATAGCTCTCTCTCTCTCTCCTTTTCTATTCGTATATGTATACGTATGTACATTTATATATATATATTATACATATATATATATATATCATAAATTATAAATATAACAATGTTTACACAAACGTTTTGTGCCAATACACAAACAAAGTCCTCGTTGGTCAACTGCCCATAGCTGTTGCTTAAGTACCCGCAACTTGTTGCTGATTTTCCCCTTGATTCTTTACTGAATAGTGTCTTGTTGATCCACATTGATCCACTATCTGTTGACTGATGATTTGCTGTTTCAATCTCCAAGGGTTTGGTTTAAAATGGTCAAAAAAAACAAAATCTATAGAAACATCATAAAGAAATATAAAGAATCCCTCCAATGAACTCATCTCGCCTGCAACTCTGCTGCATCCTTTGGAAGAGTTTGGAGACCGCCTTGACCTTGGGTCCCGGTCCCAATGGAGGGATCATCCTACAGAGACCTTGGTGACACCCCAGGAAAACATGTCCATTTCTGAAGGGAAACATGTTGAAAAATGATATGAGTGAGGTCCCCAAACTTTAGGTTTTGAGAATAGAACTCAAAATCACCCAAGGTTCGGATTTTGGTCGAGAATCGCTTGGCCTTTGTAGCTTGAAGCCCCAAGGAATCCATGGCTGTGTTCCATCTGAGGTTGCAGGCTGTCAATCAGCATCAGTGGATGCGTGTGCAGAGTTTTACCTTGCGGTTGAAAGGACATCCTGGAAACTCAAAGAAGCAGATAAACATTTATTGGATTTGCCCTGCGTGAGTAGAGAAGATATAATTATACATATAATTGTAGCATATGGAAGCACTTTGCGGAAGCAAAATACGGCAAACTACGATTTGTTTATTGAAAAAGAACCAGGCATTCTACGATCCTTAGTTGTCCCTGTTTTTGAACTAGCTAGCAACAACTTGATATTTAGCCAAACAAGGCCAACTGAGCACTGTTCTTGAAACAGATGCTGAGTCGCTATGCCGCTATGCTAGGAGTTCCAGGTCATAATTTAGAACTCGGGAAAAATGGACACAACTAGCTACTGTATCCTTTGAAGAGTAACGATCTTCAAACTCTGAGTGAATTGATTTGGGCCCCTGTCAGGATGAAATCCTCTGATCAGCTGCAGCGCCCCATGGCACCTTGATTTGGCAAAGGCATCACTGCCTCAGCCATGATGCGGCTACCACGGATGAACTTTTGGTGCATGTTGTGGACCCGTTAAAAAAAACAGCCTAGAACACACATCCAATATCCAAATATATGTTACATTGCATGAGAGACTGAAAACAAATTGATAATCAAGGATGTCACCAAAATATTAACCCCTGACATTTTCGTTATGTTCAAGATGAGGGTGGGCATAGCCAAGCAGTATCAAGCCAGTGAACTACCGCCACCATTTAGCTATTTGGGGATCAAAACTGGGTTACCAATGGACCCACAAGAAACAAGGACTATTCATAAAATATATGATCATACACTCCATTTTCGACGGATCGGCAATCTTATAGAATGGTTTTGTCAGAAAATAGGGTTAATCATCATTTTTATCAGCAAATGGTCATTTTCAGACACACTCAATATCACACATTGTCCTTTATATATCCAGTAAATGTCCATTGTATATATATATATATATGTATGTATTGTATATATATATATATACATACAATTACATATTCCATTATATCCCGAGTATATCCCATGAAAATCTGCACTGTTGATGCTTCAAATTGCCCTTTAAAACAGCCCATTTTGCCCAGTTGCTGAGATGTCTCTGGGCATGGTCTCTTCCCGGAGCACAGCACCTGGAGCAGCTTGGCCTTTCATTTTTGATGACAAAAGGTACGTGGAGGTAGCTGGAATAGTATGGATATATGTATGTAGGATATACGATTGATATATGTATGGATATATCTATGGATATATGTAGGATATCTCTGGACATAGGATATATGATGGATATATGATGGAATAGCGATTTTGCAAAGATGACCTGTTGGTTTATGGTACAAGGTGGTGCCCCCTAGATGGCACGGTTGGTAAAAAAAAACTTCAATTTCACTTGGCTTTGTGGTAGATATATCTATAGTTAATGGGGAAAACCATCTTACAACTGGGGGGCACCATGCTGTACCGGGTTTGGTCATTGATGACTCACCAGGAGATTGGCTGGCGCTTTCAATCAGTCCTTGGTGCTTCATCTGATTGAGTACATGCATACCATGATTTGTAATATCTGTATATATATATTATACATAGACATAGATTGCAGTAAATATGACTTAGAATAATAATTCACGTCGCTTCGCGACGGCAACCGCCCGCACCGCATCGTTGGGCTCACAAGCAATAAATTTGAAAGCTTTATAAGTATCAGATCTGCAAGATGTAGGCTTTTGTTGTCTGGACGCTCCACACTGGCAAAGATGTCGGCCAACCAAAATAGATAGAGAAAGATAGACCGATAGATAGATAGAGAGATATATCTATATATATAAAGATCATATATGTACATATCGAGTGAACGGTCCACACTGTTAATGATGTCAGCCATTGTTCTCTTCTACTGCCATTGTTCTCTTCTATTGCCGTCGCTCCGCGACAAGACCCCCTGTGCGGCCGCCACGGTTTGAACGATGTTGTTCTCACACCTTCGCGACCGCTCGTAACTGCCAATGATGTCGGCCATTGAGACCAAAAACATCCGAAAGTACTGATTGTCGAAAAAAAAACGCGAAGAATTTGATAGCCATGTATAGCGGACCAACGCAGTTCAAAAAATAACGAAAAACATGAAAAAACGGCGAAATTGCTGTTATTTACAGTGTTTTTGCGCGGTGAGAAGCAGAAACCACTGCAAATACCATGGTTTTTGAGGGTCAGGTGGCCAAAAACACTGTAATTTACAGTGTTTTTTTAACCAACGTCAAAAAACACTGGTATTTACGATTTACGATGTTTTCATTCACACCGTAACATAAAACAGCGTAATTTACGAGGTTTTTGGAAGTTTTGAAGCTAGCCGTCAAGCATGCAGAAAACAGAAAAACACTGTAAAAACCAGTGTTTCTGCTATCACAAAACGACGAAAATCAGTCCGAAAACGGGTCCAAAAACTCAAAAATCCGCCTCCGGGCCAGGCCACCTGCGGAACCGCAAAAAAAGATGTTGCAAACCAAAAAATTGAGGTCAAAAAGTTGAAAAACACGGTTTTTTTTCACTTTTCGCTTGCCGATTTTGGACGGGCGCGTTCACGAACAGGTGTCTTCCGTACTGTTTTTTACAGTGTTTTTTGAAGGCGAGCGTCACGACCTATCAAAAACAGGAGGTTTTGGCCGAAAAATGCCCCCCCCCCCAGGTAAACCTGTAACCTTTTACGAGTGCCATCCGGACGATCACGCCCCAGCACCTTCGGTGTGGGCGGATTCTTATAGATCCACCATCCAGCCCTTACCAGGCCAACTAGGCTAGGGCCCACCTGCCCCCAGCGCCTGTGAGAGGATCCATCCACCAAACCTTCTGCTGCCCGAGGCTGGGTGTAATCACCTCAGACCGCGCTAGCTGCATAGCATCTGGCAAATGAAGACTGCTGGGGATGGGTCAAAACCATAGGTATCTATAGCTATTGACCGTAGCCACATTGAGAAATATTGAGAAATGCTGAGAAATATTGAGAAATAGTATCATTTCTGAAAAACTTGAAGGCATGGCGGAACATTACAAGCTTCACGCATGAATGTGATTGGCAAGAGAAGAGTCTTGCAAGAAACGTCTGGAGATTCAGGAATATTGCCTGACGGGTAGTAAGACTTACATTAGTTATATATTCCGAGAAAAACAACCGGCCATCGTGGCGAGCTGGGGGAATCATGGACGGATTCTCCCATTGCCAATCATGCGCAATGTTTCATGGGGGAAAAAAAGGGTTGTCCGAAAATGGTCTACACCAAAGTACCCTAAAATATCATAGTTTAAAATCATTTTTCCAATTCAACTAAGCCGTTTGGGGTATCCCATGGTCTTTTCGCCTCCTTCTTCGACAAAAATCATCGTCGTGATCTTCCAATGCGTGGCGATTAGGCGAGGTTCAACCATAGAACACCTTCACTTTATCACTATTTATCACTATCTTAATTGGACTTTGTGGGATTCTACGAAATTCCATCTTTTTGAGGTTACGAAATAGAATGGCTGGGAAGGTCATGAAACCATCGCTATTTCATGCTATTTCAGCTACTTATTGACGGTTTCAACCCTCACTCTGGGTAGAAAAAAATCGCGTTATCATACAATCCTTGTCCAAATTCATCTGGGCACATGGTAATGCCCAAATCAAACATAGTCATATTGGGTCAGCCACTGAGGGTTACGGTTGCTACTATTTGACTGCTTGGTGGTTTCAACCCCACCCCTCTGAAAAATGATGGAGTTCGTCAGTTGGGATGATGACATTCCCAATATATGGAACAAATAAAAAATGCTCCAAACCACCAACCAGATATCATTTGCCCAGATTTATGGTTCAAATCTAGGTGGATAAACGCCCATGGGGAAAAACGCCAGAATGATGATAAACCATGGTAAACCACTGTTGTGTTTTTTCCACCCAACAAGAATCCGACAAACCCAGGTGCGACGCCCTATCCATCAACAAATGCCAAACCAGTCAATAAGGGTTTCAAACATACTACTTAACATGTTCATCGATTCCTGCATCTTTTCTGCCAGAAACTATTCGAACTATTTTGATGTGTTTTTACATGTTCAGTCATATACATGTTCAGTCATGTTCATCGATTCCTGTATGAATCTATACAGTACCCTGGGGTAAACTAACGTAGATGTGGAAAACCTATGGTTTTTCCAGGAACATACTCTACAAACGGTTGATTTTCCACATCTATGTTAGTTTACGCTAGGTAACATGTCCTCAAACAAACTCACCGATTTTTCAGCTCTTGCTGGTCTCAGCATGCCCACCACCAGCTCTGCATGTGGAGACGCGGCCGAAGGCAATAACCTGCCGCACGGAGGTTTCCATAAAATGGGGGGGGTGCCCCAAGAGCTGAATAACATGCTTTATTTCATGGAAAAATCCATCTAAACAAATGGATGATTTGAGGCTACCCCCATGTTATAGGACCCTTCCATACCCTTCCTGGGTATTTGGGTAGCTTTCTGCGGGCCCTTCAGCCCGTTTCTTCATGGGGTGACCATCAATTGACTCATGCCCCATCTGAGCTCACAGCTGCATCCAGGGCACGCAAGGATCAAGGCCGCCTGGCAGCTGGAGGAAAAAGGCCAAAAAAACCGCTGGTGCAATGGTGATGGATAGTGATGGATAGTGATCCAAGGTGCCAGGCAGAGTACACATACATTCCCTACAATGTGGGGCCCCGAAGATAGCTAAGTTGGTTTATAACTACAATAACTAGGGTTTATGGTAGTTATAACCATAGTTAGATCGGGTTATAAACCAACTTATAACTAGGGGGCCCCACATTGTATATACTAGTACTTTGACACTCTTATGAACCAGTGAAGGAATGTGAAGGAGGTTTTTCATCAAATTTGTATGACAACATAGAAACAACTGCATACATATGCAGCTGTAGCTATTGCGGAGTTGTTGTTTTCCGCATTACCTCGTTTGTACTGGTACTGATAGTGGCGAACTCGGCGAAAATTGCAGATTGGCATTGAAACTAAGGCCAACTGCATCATTCTGCAGCCCATCATTCCAAACTATTCCACACACACACATTGATTATATGTGATTATCACATTGATCCTCGGATTCACCATTCCAATGTCCAAGATGTGGATAGATGTGGGTTTGTGCAATTTCGACCCAATGTTCTTTGAGCTCCCGTACCCTTCGGTTTGGCTGAAGCGCACTTGGGGTCCAGTGGCCCCAAATACTTGGTCCTCAGCTGGCAGGGATCCACAAACACAAAATCAACAAGTCGTCCCATGTCCTGAAGATCTGAAGCTTCAAACTGATCATTCCGAAGCCACCGTGGTGAGATTTTGCCATCGGACCATCATGGAACATCAAGGAACCCAAAGACTGATCCTTTTGACTCAGGCATTTCTCTTCCAAAGACAAGCTTTGGATAGCTTTGGGGTTTCCATCTTGTCTGGGTCAGTCCTAGTCTGGCACAAAAGGTGCCCGGAATAACACAAACAGATCGATGCCTTGCACCACAAATCGTCCAAGGAGAAAGGAATTCGGCGTTCCTAGGAAGTTTCCCTTCATGTTTTCGAATTATTTAGTAGAATCCAGCTGTCTTTTCATCTTCCAAATGTTTGAACCTGTGTTCTTTTGGTGCATCTTTTTGCAAAACCGAGCTTTGCCTACAGTCTTGCGGGCTTTTTCCCAGCTTCGCCTTCCAAAACTGACTGTCACTGTGATCTTAGGAATGCATTTGTTATGTTCACTTGCAAACTTGGGCTACTTGCTCGGTGACTTGCTGAGTAATTCGCTTGGTGAGCTAAGGTTGCTAGTTGACGTGTGTATTTACTTTACTTGGTAATCCCAGAGGCTCATATATGCATTTTAGACTATATACTATATAATATATAATATATTATTAAATACCATGTAAATAATGTGTATATATATATATATATATATACAATATTTATATAATATACACATGTTATATATAGTTCTTGTTGAAACCACCAACCACCAACAAATCATCTCCCCAAAGGGCGAGCTCGCGTCACGTTGATGTTTGGGTGACCGCACCAAACCACTTCAGAGGTGGTCGCTTGGAGGGCAAAGATTTTTGGCCTCAAAAAGGCCGGATGTCACTGACTTCTAAACCCAAATTTTAACTAGTCATGGATCCCCAAAATAGTTGGTTTTATTGGGAAAACCATAGGAAAACCATAGGAAAATGGAGGTTTACCCTCTGGTTATTTAACATAGCCATGGAAAATCACCATTTGGATATTTTTAATAGGTAAACCATCTATAAATGGGCCATTTCCCATGGCTATGTTAAATAACCAGAGGGTAATCCCCAATAATCCCCATGAATTCTAGATAACATGATATAACCCCCTAATCAACCAAGGACGGAAGAGTATACCATAGTATGCCTACTCAAATTTCAAGACGGAACAGTATGTAACAGATCCAAACTTCCTCGATACTGCAGAGTTTTTTCTATTGAATTTCGTGCAAGATACTATTGTGGCATGTGGCAGTCTTTTTTAGTTGGACCAACATCTTGGCAATTGCCGTGACAGTGGTACAAACAAGACTGCACGCCAATTTTGTGCGTATCTCATGTCCAAGCACAGTTTCTGGATACATTTAGATAATGCACTATCATGACCATGACACATATTATCATAGTGTGGTAATCTTAAGTTCATATTAAGAAACAACCCGCATTAATCAACACCAACATTCCAAAAAATGTTTGGCAATCATGCTTTGGGTTGGTCCCTCCCTATTCATAAACATGTGCGAACCCCTATTGAACAACACCCTGCTCAGAAATCCTAATTTTGTGGTAGTCAGGGTATATTTATTTTTCAATGGTTTTAATTTCCATGGTTGAAAAAGTAATGTTTTGAGGAGATGTCCCACGCCCAATCTCACCATCTCACTCCATTGGGAGGGAGGTTGCCACTGAAAAGAGAAATCTCGACCCATTGGCAGGGCAGGCAGGTTGTTCCCCACATCTTTGTGTGGGGTTCTTGTTTTTGATTCTGTATCCCGGGCTCCTCCTCCGCCTTCTCCTCCTCCGCCCTCCTCCACACTTTGTCAACACATACTTTGTCACCACATACTTTGTCCACACACACTTTGTCCACACACACTTTGTCACCACACACTTTGTCCACACACATTTTATCAACAAACACTTTGTCAACATTCACTTTCTCAACAAACACTTTGTCAACGCACACTTTGTCAACACATACTTTGTCACCACATACTTTGTCCACACACACTTTGTCCACACACACTTTGTCACCACACACTTTGTCCACACACATTTTATCAACAAACACTTTGTCAACATACACTTTCTCAACAAACACTTTGTCTACGCACATTTTCCACCGTCGTTTGGAAGATCACGTGGCAGGCGTGGCACAATTTGACATCCACCTTCGTTTCACGTGGCAGGCGTGGCACAAACTCGCATCCACCGTCGTTTTGCGTGGCAGGCGTGGGACAGATGGCACTGGGTGGCGCCCTTGGGCCGGCTTGGGCGCCTGTGACGCCGCGGCACTTTGCGTGGCAGGCGTGGCACAACCTGACATCCACCTTCGTTTCACGTGGCAGGCGTGGCACAAACTCACATCCACCGTCGTTTTGCGTGGCCGGCGTGGGACAGATGGCACTGGGTGGCGCGCTTGGACTGGCTTGGGCGCCCGTGACGCCGCGGCACTTTGCGTGGCAGGCGTGGCACAACCTGACATCCACCTTCGTTTCACGTGGCAGGCGTGGCACAAACTGACATCTGCCGTCGTTTTGCGTGGCAGGCGTGGGACAGATGGTACTGGGTGGCGCCCTTGGGCCGGGATTTGGCGCCTGGGGCGCCGCACCACTTTGCGTGGCAGGCGTGGCACAACCTCACATCCACCTTGGTTTCACGTGGCAGGCGTGGCACAAACTGACATCTGCCGTCGTTTTGCGTGGCAGGCGTGGGACAGATGGTACTGGGTGGCGCCCTTGGGCCGGGATTTGGCGCCTGGGGCGCCGCGCCACTTTGCGTGGCAGGCGTGGCACAACTTGACATCCACCTTCGTTTCACGTGGCAGGCGTGGCACAAACTGACATCTGCCGTCGTTTTGCGTGGCAGGCGTGGGACAGATGCTACTGGGTGGCGCCCTTGGGCCGGGATTTGGCGCCTGGGGCGCCGCGCCACTTTGCGTGGCAGGCGTGGTACAACCTCACATCCACCTTGGTTTCACGTGGCAGGCGTGGCACTCATGGCACTGGGTGGCGCGCTTGGACTGGCTTGGGCGCCTGTGACGCCGCGGCACTTTGCGTGGCAGGCGTGGCACAACCTGACATCCACCTTCGTTTCACGTGGCAGGCGTGGCACAAACTCACATCTACTGTCGTTTTGCGTGGCAGGCGTGGGACAGATCATCTCTCACACACCGTCACAGACCATCTTTCACACACCATCTTTCACACACCGACTTTGTCACACGCCATCTTTCACACACAACTTTGTCACACGCCATCTTTCACACACAACTTTGTCACACACCAACTTTGTCACACGCCATCTTTCACACACCAACTTTGTCACACACCATCTATCACACACCTCTTTGTCACACCCCACCTTTCATACACCATCTTTCACACATCACATTGTCACACACCATCTTTCACAAACCCTCTTTCACACACCACTTTGTCACATACCATCTTTGACACACCGCTTTGTCACACACCACTTTGTCACACATCACATTGTCACATACCATCTTTCACACACCACTTTGTCACACGCCATCTTTCACACACCGTCACAGACCATCTTTTCACATCATCTTTCACACACCATCTTCCACACACCACTTTGTCACACACCATCTTTCACCACACCATCTTTCACACACAACTTTGTCGCACACCATCTTTCACCACACCATCTTTAACACAACTTTGTCACCCACCATCTTTCGCCAAACCATCTTTCACACACCAATTTGTCACACACCATCTTTCCCACAACTTTGTCACACGCCCTCTTTCACACACAACTTTCGCACACACCATCTTGCACACACCACTTTGTCACACACACTATCTTTCTTAGTCACACACCAGCTTTCACATACAACTTTGTCACACACAACTTTGTTTTACTTCTCGGTCCTCCACCACCTCCTTTGTCTTTCCTTCCTTCCCCGTCCCCGCTACAACATTTGGTGCTTTTTATTCAAAGAAGTTGTCTTGTGGGGTTATCCGGTCCTTTAATTTTTGTTTTTGTTTTTTTCTTTTTTAATGTATGACAAGCCCTAGTTACTAGTTATAATTGGGGGGTTATCAATACGAACTTGGCATTATCAGAGCAGACGAGAAGACCAACTACGGCAGCTGACAAGAAGATGCTGAGCTTTTGTAAAACACAGCGCATGCCGCAACTACATGTGCCAGCGATACTTTTATAGACGTGCACATACAAATTACAAATTAAAAACAACTGTAAATACTGTAGTTCGGAAGAGATCATCTTATATTCATATTACGTTCACCGGTGAAATCTCAACACAAACATAGATTGATAGATGGATATGTAAATGATAAATCTACCAACATCCAACGATGGTTTCGCAACAGCCCAGGAACGCGTTGGACATGGCCAGAATCAGCTTGTCGGCTCCAAAGTCGCGAAGCTCCTTTCGGCCACTGGAGGGTGCTGTAGGTTAAATTGGGAACATCAAAGACATCTGGGCAAATAAATCAAATAATAATATTTCACTAACCTGAAATGAGGCCCACCATGGGGATACTTACCCCTTACTAATCATCATTCTAGTGAGGTCGCAGTGAGGTCGTTATCCGCCGACCCCGGCCTTCGCCAAGGCCGGGGCGGCGCCTGGGACCACCGCAGGTGTGGAACTTTTCCGCGCGGGCTTTAAGTGTGCGCGGCAGCTTCCACCAAGCCTGGCCGTCAGCCTTTGCTGCTCCAGGGTTGCAGCCTGGCCCTTTGCCTGCACATCCCTCGCGGCAGCTTCCACCAAGCTCCTGGCCGTCAGCGTTCCAGCATTGCAGCCTGCCCTTTGCCTGCACATAGCCCTCTCTTGTTAGGGCATTCGAGCCTACCGTTTGCCAGGCTTCAAACCCATAACATGCCTCAAACCCTCCTTTGCCTGCACATAGCCCTCTCTCGTTAGGGCATTCGAGCCTGCCGTTTGCCAGCCTTCAAACCCCTAAAACCCCTCAAACCCTCCGCGGCAGCTTCCACCAAGGTTGCAGCCTGCCCTTTGCCTGCACATCCCTCGCGGCAGCTTCTACCAAGCTCCTTGGCGGTCAGCGTTCCAGCATTGCAGCCTGCCCTTTGCCTGCACTTAGCCCTCTCTTGTTCGGCATTCGAGCCTGCCGTTTGCCAGCTTCTACCAAGCTCCTGGCCGTCAGCGTTCCAGCATTGCAGCCTGCCCTTTGCCTGCACATAGCCCTCTCTCGTTAGGGCATTCGAGCCTGCCGTTTGCCAGGCTTCAAACGCTTAAAACCCTTAAAACCCTCCTTTGCCTGCACATAGCCTTCTCTCGTTAGGGCATTCGAGCCTGCCGTTTGCCAGGCTTCAAACGCTTAAAACCCCCTCCTTTGCCTGCACATAGCCCTCTCTCGTTAGGGCATTCGAGCCTGCCGTTTACCGGCTTCAAACCCATAAAATGCTTCAAACCCTCCTTTGCCTGCACATAGCCCTCTCTCGTTAGGGCATTCGAGGCAGCTGCCACCACGCCCTCTGGCCGGCAGCCTTTGCTGTTCCAGGGTTGCAGCCTGCCCTTTGCCTGCACATCCCTCGCGGCAGCTGCCACCAAGCCCTCTAGCCGTCAGCGTTCCAGCATTGCAGCCTGCCCTTTGCCTGCACATAGCCCTCTCTTGTTCCCCAAGAAGCCCAACACGCGCCACTGCCGCACGCAAAAGCCACCACAAGGCCACAGCAATGGCTCAAGGGCACCCCACGGCCGCAGCAATGGCTTCTTATACGCGTTCAAGGCTGCCGTTTGCCAGGCCTCAAGCGCTCCAAAACCCTCCAAACCCTCCAAAAGTCCGGCCAGCTCCGCAAGGAAAAGGTACCCCAACAAGCCCAACACGCGCCACTCCCGCACGCAAAAGCCACCACAAGGCCACAGCAATGGCTCAAGAGCACCTCTGGCCGTCAGCGTTCCAGCATTGCAGCCTTCCCTTTGCCTGCACTGAGCCCTCTCTTGTTCCCCAACAAGCCCAACACGCGCCACTGCCGCACGCAAAAGCCACCACAAGGCCACAGCAATGGCTCAAGGGCACCCCACGCCGCAGCAATGGCTTCTTATACGCGTTCAAGGCTGCCGTTTGCCAGGCCTCAAACGCTCCAAAACCCTCCAAACCCTCAAAAGTCCGGCCAGCTCCGCAGGGAACAGGTACCCCAACAAGCCCAACACGCGCCACTCTCGCACGCAAAAGCCACCACAAGGCCACAGCAATGGCTCAAGAGCACCCCACGGCCGCAGCAATGGCTTCTTTTATACGCGTTCAAGGCTGCCGTTTGCCAGGCCTCAAACTCTCCATACCCTCCAAAACCCTCCAAACCCTCCAAAAGTCCGGCCAGCTCCGCAGGGAAAAGGTATACCCCAACAAGCCCAACACGCGCCACTCCCGCACGCAAAAGCCACCACAAGGCCACAGCAATGGCTCAAGAGCACCCCACGGCCGCAGCAATGGCTTCTTTTATACGCGTTCAAGGCTGCCGTTTGCCAGGCCTCAAACCCTCCAAACCTTCCAAACCCTCCAAAAGTCCGCCCAGCTCCGCAGGGAAAAGGTACCCCAACACCCAACAGGCTTGAGAAGCAAACGGCCATATGTGTGTCTTGCTGTCCGTCTCCCTCTCTCTCTCTACAGTACCCCCCCTCCAATTAGGGGGGTCGGCGGCACCTGGGCGCTAGCCCATTCTATATATATATATTATATGTATATGTGTACCCATGCTGGCAGCAACAACTAAAATTGCTTATATAAATTATCCATCCAACCTTGATCCAGGCAGCATCTCATTTTCCCTACATTTTCCCAATAGAGCAAGTATTGCAATAATTCACCAACCTGGTCTAATTGGGGAAATGTGTTTTTTTTTTGGATAGCTGTCACCAACCTGAATTAAGACATTTTTTGGATAGTTAGCCCTACATTCATGATAATTCCAGCGACGTCGCGCCGTGACGGTCCAGCCCATTACAATAACCAATCAGACATCACTCAACTATGATGTATCAACCATATGTCCATGTTCATTTGTTAAACACCCCTAATTGTTGTGGTGAAATTCCATACTACAGCAATCGGCAGGAAAAACGTGACACCCGGGTACCTCCCAAAGAGAGATAATGTGGATAAAACAATAGTAAACCATCCCCCAAAAGACCATAAATAGGTGGTAGTTTTACCATTTCCAGTCATGGCTGGTTTATGACATGGTTTTTACCCACATGAAAATCTGTTACTTGAATGATGCCCTCCAGTAAATTAACAGTTCGACCCTGGCAGATAGGGGTTGGAAGATGAGTTTCAACTAAACAATGACTACTTTCACTGGTTGGTGGTTTCAACCCCTCTGAAAAATATGAAAGTCAGTTGGGATGATGATTATTCCCAATATCATGGGAAAATCAATCCAAATTCCATGGTTCCAGCAACTAAACAATGACTACTTTCAGGGTCAAACTGTGAATTTACCACAGGCTACCCCCCAATGAAACCGCCCCGTTGACCCACCCGTTGACCCGTTGAGCGTCGGCGCACAAATTTCCGGGCTCAAAGGGACAGGTAGGACATCCTCCCCCACTGATCTGGCGATTCGGTCTTTCGGTGTCACTGATCTGCAGGTCACGTTGACGTTGCTAGTGACCAATGTGTTTCATGCTATAGATATCAGTATAGATGATGATGAAACATATGGAAAATGTATACAAGATGTAACATGAAACATGAAACCATTGGAAATATATGTATAGATTAGATGTTTTTCCCCATATTTTCCATATTTTCCAACTATCCAACTCTTGTCTTTTTACATCTTTTGGTCTATTTTCCATTTCGCAAATACTTGCCGATCCAGGATGCAATCAGTTGCTTTTTACCTAGTTTTAAAGGGTTGGAATTTAAGAAGTTGTTGGGACATACGCGCTGGGGGGGCCAACAACTTATTTACCCTCTGGTAATTTGTTACATAGCTATTGAAAATGACCATAGATAGTGGATTTTCCCATTAACAAATGGTGATTTTCCATAGTTATTTGTATGTTTACCAGAGGTTAAACCTCCATTAATCACCATTAGATCCCACTAAATCACCATGAAATCCTATGAAATCCCGATTAAATCACCATTCATCACCAGTTTACCGACGAGGGTAATAGAGGTTCCACATCAAGCTGTCAGAGCTGGACTTGCCGCAATGTAACAGAACCTGCAAACCTTATTTGCGAAAGTTCATAGTTTGGTATGTGTATTTTTCTTCATTTTACTTGGAAAGTTGTGGGCTTTCCTGTCCCCACCAAAATTGTTTGTTTTAGGGGGATATGCCAGATACATCGAGTGGATATCGTGAAGAAACATGGAATATCATGTTGGCCTGTTGATCCAAAATGCCATCAATATACCTCCACACATTCTGAACAAAACGATTCAACATGGGAGTTTTACACCGACATCTTCGTGTCTTCACCCACTCGTGCAGTCTTTAAACCCTCGATCATCAATAGGGATACCCATAATGGCTGATAATCCCAAAGATATTGGCGAAAACAAACTGCAAAGTGTGGAAACGAAAAAAAATCGACCAAGCATCATTTCTCAATGTAAAATTGCATTTCTTTTGATAGTTCATAACATAGCTATTGAAAATGGCCATAGAAATAGTTATTTACCCATTAACAAATGGTGGATTTCCAAAGTTTTTTGTGTGTTGACCAGAGGTTACCTCCATTAATCACCATTAGATCCCACCAAAGCACCATGAAATCCCATGGTGAAATCCCAAAAAACATGGTTTTATCAGCCGAGAATCTCCATGGTGAAATCCGGACAAAAACCCCAAATAAAATGTACTGGTTTTTACACATGTTAACAATAATGTTAAAACAGCAGAAAAAAAACATATCTGGAGGTTTCCGGCAAAAAAAGTCGGGCACCCCAAGGAAAACCCGGCCGGTTGTGAAAAAATACTCAAGGAGTCGACTTGGATGATTGGGGGTAGCCCTATTTTAGGAAAGCTCCATGTAATCACCCAACATTTAAAAAACCATCCCAGGCGACCTCCCGATACTCCTCCTCGGTGCCCATGTAACCAGCCTTAGCGGCAACCCATGAGTTAGGCCTGGTGATGAATGGATGATGATTGGATGATTATTGGATAAGTATTGGACAATTAATGGATGATTAATGGATAATTATTAAAAAAAGGTCTCCTCTGTGACAAATGACGAATTTCGCTGAACACAATTTACCAATGTCCAAAGAAACCACAAAGTGGGGCCAAAGGATATCTAAGTAGGTTTATAGCTCCAAGTTCACTAGGGTTTATGGCAGTTGTACCGGTATGATGGGTGAACATAAACCAACAAACATTGGAAAACCATAGATTTTGGTTTATATTCACCCATCTTGTTGGTTTAAGGGAAACCAGTTTGAATATATGATGGGTCAATACATCTATGGGTTTAAGGGAAAATCTAAACCGGAAACCATAGATGTTCCCATGAAATATGGGGCTTAAACCAGTAAAATTGTCCTTAAACCAACAATGAAACAAACATCAACAAAGGGGGGCCTCACCTTGCAGATCCCCCGAGGTACTCGTAAAAGTCACCTAAGCCTTGGACCAAATCTGTGTGGCCTCGCAGGTAGAGCTGAGTGCACCTGGATGCAGCTTGAATCATGAAGAGCAACATGCAAATACAAATAAAGAAAAATGACTGTTAATCCTTATATATATATCCTTATAGCATGGTTATACCACATATATATATATATTATAATCCTATCCTTATATCTATGGTTAATCCTTATATATATATATATCTGTGCAATTAGATAGGGTATACCACAGCCATTTCGTTTCGCCGGTCATCCCATCGTCCACTGGGCCAGCGAACGCTTCCGAGACGTAGACCTGCGTGGTGTCTGACAGACCCGCGGACGCCTCGGCCGAGGTTTTGAACAAAAATTGGTCCATGTGAGAGCAACCAAAGATAGGCATGGAATATAAGTTTAGTATATTTATGTGTATACATATTAATACGTGTTTAAACGATGTAAATCTAATAATTATATATATATATATATTATATATATATACACATTGCGAAGGCTCATCCCAAAATTGGGAATGACCAACACAATATGAGGATAGTACCGTGATATTAATTATCAATGAGACGCATGATCACATGATATCACATGTGATATGTGGATTTGTCTCTCAGTGAACCACCAAATTTATGATAATTTATGGCCATCAGATAAGGAAAATATGATGTTTTCGAGTGTTTTTCTTCCCTTCGAAGTGTCAGATAACCCCAGATTCAGCAAGAACTGTCATTTTTGGTAAATTTCACGGGCCCCTCTGACTGATATTGCCTGGACCGGGATGGTGGTGAAATACGCCCGTTGACGAAGGGATGAGATATCTGAGATATCTGTGATCCGTTGGGGTTTGGGGTTACTTACTTACTGCACCAGATCTGTGAATTGAATCTGCCACCTATCATCATCATCATCATCATCATCATCATCATCTCATGTCAAGTCAACGCACTGCGGTAACCCAGCTGTGCAAGTTACTCTGAAAAAATAAGCTACTTCCAAATCCTCTGGTTCATTATTAAATTTTCATTAAGCTACTTCGAAATCCTCATAAAAAGACTATTTCATAGGTTTAATATATTTTAATGACTATTCAATGGCTATTCCATGGCCCCCATTTTCAGACACACCCAGTGCTGCGTATTTCGCCCGTGCCGCGCACAAAGGGCACCCCAACTTCTGCTGTGGTGCATCGACCCATCGTGGAACATGCCTTCGAGGATGGCGATATAGATATAGAGACTATGGGAGCAGATTATAATGGGACATATTAGTGTACATATATATATATATACATGGTTTACTGTAATTAATGGGATTGGATTCCGCTGGACGAACTCATACACACACATATATATATATATATATATCAAACATAGTTCAACATATATATATATCAAACATATATATATATATCAAACATATATTATAGTGGGATCTATCAAACATAGTTCAACAAAGGGATCGGAATGTCGTTCGCCGGTCCTGCGATTTTGGGTCCTGTGATCCCACTTTCTCTTCTTGCATCCAATACACAACCAGGGTTTCTGGGGATATTCATTATCATATTTGTGTGAATACCATATTTGTTAATTGAATATTGATAAACCATAGTATTTTGTCAATCATTCAATAGTATTTCTAATTTGTCGATTCCCATTGTTATTAAATCATATTAGTATCCAATAATGTTGAAATTGGGATAAGTGGATAACATATTAGTATAGTTTATCGTATTGGTTATCCCAATTCAAGATGGTTAAGCCATACTAGTGGAAGAGAATTAAGTGGAGCACCCCAGTTATAAGTTTATTTCTGAAGCCCATTAACTATAGCTGTAAGTGATCCAACTTAGTTATCTTGGGGGCATCGGGGCACCACATTGTATGAGATCCTCCAAAAAAAAACAGAACTGGCCTCCCCTCGTCCGCAATTGCGCACTGGAAGATTGGGAAACAAACCTTGGGTGCGTCGTGGGCCTGCATCTGTTGACAAGATTCATGATGTGAATCTTCTGTATGCTTCTATCTACAGTATATATGTGTATATATATATATATTAATATATATATATATATTATACACATAGAGTCATCCTTAAAAGAGATAGAAAAGGAGAATCCCATTAAACCAGTGATAAATCACTTTTCTGTCTTTATTTTGGGGTTACAAAATATGAGAACAATAATGATAATACTAATAACAAAAGTAATGGACCGAATCATAAACACACACAACATGTTGTTCATCATATTACTGATCAGAATAGCCATTATCATAGGATACATTGTCACTCATTAAATTCAATAACTTTTAGGATGGGGCCCACCAGTTATAAGTTGGTTTATAATCCCCTTTAACTATTATTGTCTATAGTTACATCTACCATAAACCATAGTCAAGCCACTTATAAGGCAACTTAGCTATCTCATCCTGTACATCTTGATATTCATTATAGGATCCATCATTGGCGTCATTCATCGCCAGGAAACAGTCCGGATCGGGCATGCCACATCTGCAATCACATTGCCGGCCATCGTTGTAGAGCCTCCCCATGGGGTGAACTTATCTTCAACGGACATAGCTTTTTGAAAACTTAAATCAAAGGGGTTTCCTGCAGATTTCTTGCAGGAAAACTACTAGGAGTTGAAGAAACGCACATCATTCGGCAGTGACGAATGATGTGTCATTCTATCTCTGGCACGCTGTGCTATGCACAGAATCTTTGATGTGCTGTCAAATCTCGATCTTAGCAAAACACCCGGCCCCAGATCCAGGCTCAGATCCACACAGATCATTTGAACATATTTGAAACATCCATAAAGAAGAGAACTACCTGAACGCTGTTCCCCTCACCTGGCATGGCAAATCCATTTGCTGGATGGTGCAGCAGGCAAATCACCATACTCCTGGAGCAGATGCCCCGATCTCACATCTGCTTCAGAGACATTTGGAGGAAATAAGTAAAACTTGGGGTGCAGAACCCAGGCATCGTTTTGTGGGTAACAAGTAAGAACGAACAATGAAATGACTCAAATATCGATGGCTTATATAAATGGGCTCTACACATAAGTTAAAAACCACATACTATCTGGAATGCACATCGAGGCAAAACCCACAGGGTCTTGCGGAAGACTCAGCAGAAGTCGGGTCTAGGTGGTCGGCCCACAGGCTGAAGCGGTCATGTGAGGTCTCTGTCGGGAAAGCAGGAGGCGAACTGGAACCAACACATATATATATATATATATGTAGATATATATATATATATTATAGAATTGAGTGACTTCTCATGATTTCTCATGAATTTCTCCCTCTTCATGTGGATTCGACGCGAGATTTCAGCACCCATTTCGGTGTTCCCCGCCTTCCCCGCAATGATAAAAGAGCCACTCGCAGGGCTCATCAACCAACCAGGGGGGTGTTGCTTGAATCCTCCATCCATCCATCCATCCATCCATCCATCCATCTGTATATATCTATATATAGAGACATATCTATATATAGAGACACACATATATATATATATACATGATCTATATACAAGTTTCACACAGAAGTTATGATCACACGGTGGCTTCCAGGCCATCCAGGCCATCCAGACCATCCAGGCCATCTAGGTCTCCTCGAGGTCAAACTTGAGGCGTGATCCATCGAGGCCACGTTGAACCTCCAAGATGAAGGCATCCGTGGTGCTGGGATCTGGCACCTGCCGTGATGTGGGCAGCTGGCTTTCTTTGTATATCCATATTATAGCAAAATGTATCCATATTAAATTATGTATATTAATGTATCTATACTATATAGATTCTATAGATATGTATGTATCTATGATAGTTATACATGTATATATATATACACTATATATATATGTATATATGTATGTATATAAATATATATATAGGTCAGTTCATAGCAACATATTTTAATCTACTGAACGATCCATCACCGGTTTGTGAAATCCCACCGATGAAAGCCCTATCCGTCCAGTCGCTTTCCCCATGAATTCTCGGAGATATCCCGGTAATCAGTTGTAACCCCATTATATCCCCAGTACCCTCTGGTAATTTAACATAGTTATGGAACATGGCTCACCTATAGCCAATGTACCTATTCAACTTTGCGATTTTCCATAGCTATGTTAGGTTACCAGAGGGTATATCCAATCAATATCCCAATTCTTGTTGGTTTAGTCCCCATGAATCACATTTTTTTCATCCCATGAAATGCCAACCAGTTAAGGAACCCGCCTGTAGTGCAGTCACCAACATGCGTTCAATGCCCGCCAGTCCAGAGACCATGATGTAGAAGGGCGGAATCCGTCCAAACCTCAAACGACCCAAAGAACAAGTTACTCTCCGTCCTGAAACAGGCGGGAAATAGGTGGTACAAGGTATGGAAATAGGTGGTACAAACATGAATGGGCATCGTCAACGGCATCATCTATGGCTATAGGTGGTGCAAGGTGGTGCTCCCCAGTGATGTTCGTTGGTTTATGTTTCCTTAAACACCATTCGCTAATTTGATGAATATCTACCATAACCCTAGCAATTGGCGTTATAACCAACTTAGCCAACTGGGCGACCACCTTGCACCATTTCGTTTTTTTCCTGAGACCTTGGGGAAAACCACTAAATTCCATGGAAATTTGTCATACTTTCTCCCAGACAACAGTATTTGGTTTGTCCAAAATGAGGGAGTGGCTAGAAAAACCGTCCAATCAAAATCGCTTCCGGCATTGAGACTGCAAAAGTCTCGAGCGTTTCGTCATGGTGGGGATTTCTAGACACCCATGACTGATACAAGGTGCCCCACAAGTTGTAAGTTAAACCCCATTGACAAGAGATGTACAGCATCTGCCATAAACCCTGCTTAGTTAGAGACCAACTTTGCTAATGGGCATCACCTTGTAAAGGGTTTGCCTAGTTGCGCCTGGTGGTTTTCGGAACGTCTTCGAAACAATCAGCAAAACATCGCACGGATGTGTCTTCAAATGCACATCAAATGTCTTTAATGAGAAAACATGTTGATCATCCACAATATTTTTTGTGTACCCTATTTTTCAGGCATACATCGTCTATATTAGCACAGCGCCTCAATCTAGACCTCGAAAAAGAGAACCAGCCGATCCATTTCTGGATTTTCGGGGATTCCCTATTATGGATTAGCATCATTCCCAATAAATTAGGTAGTATAACTCTCAACCAATTGACAATTCATATCAAATCATCAATTTTCAGTTATATCATGTATGCTTAAAACCCATATAAATTCAGATTTCTTCCAATCATGCAGGGTATAACTTCTTCATGGCTCATCTTTCACCATGTTTCACAGCGCCAAAAGACCCGCTGCCCCAGTACGACTGCTCGATGTAGACGATATTGGTGGACCTGCCCAGAGGAATCGTGGACCAAGGTCGAACTAAACATGTGGGAACATCATGGGGATATACTACATATCTAACTTATCTAACCTATCATAATTTATCTAACTTATCTAACTTTATAACTATCGATCCAGCCCTGTTGCTTGGTTTAAGTGAACTTTTTGGACTAGTTCGCTACCACCTCATAGATGCCTGCTACACTATCGTTGCTTGGGAGCATCCTCACTTTGAGGCTTGGCACCCTCCATATGGTGATGGTTCTGGTTTCAAGTGATGCCAAGCGTGAGATCTATCTTGGCCCCAAGAATTCAGATCAGATGACAACAATAAGCTGAAACATGCAACCCAACCTGCGACAGGCACTCTGCAGGCAATCTCTGCTATGCAAAGTACAGTCTCTAAGATGTGGTGTAAGCCATGGGCCTCTGACATGTGCTTATCCTAGTTATCCCCCAAATTTGATGCTTAAATACCACTGGTTGGTGGGTTCAACGTACCCCTCTGAAAACTGATGGAGTGAAAGTCAGTTGGGATGATGACATTCCCAACTGAATGGACAGTCATACAATTCCATGGTTCCAAACCACCAATCAGACCATTTTCCCACACAAATTGCGTTTTATTGAGGGTATGCACCATTTCCAGACACACCAATTTGAGCATAATTACGCCATTTCCAGACACACTCATCTGAGCAGCGCTTTATGCTGCCTTGCTCATAGGGATTTTCCAATGGATTGTCATAATCCTCAATATGTTGGTTACCCTCTGGTAAACGTTTACATAACTATGGAAAATCACCATTTTTAATGGGAAAACTCACTCTTTCTATGGCAATGTTCAATAGCTATGTTAGTTTACCAGAGGGTAGATTTTTTGATTATAATGATCACAACATTATCCATAGGATACCCATTGGATTATAATATTATAATAGGGTTGTTGGTTAGTTATAATCCATTATAATCCCCCAACTACTCATCAACCAACAGGGCTAGATCGCACTATTTGGAGCTTTCCTGATGAAATGGGGATCCCCAAAATCATCCAAGTCATGGATGACCCCCAATAATAGACCCTTGAAAATGGCCATAGAAATAGTGGATTTTCCCATTAAAAATGGTGGATCTTTCCATAGCTATGTTAAATTACCAGAGGGTACCTATTGAGTCAATGGCCATGCTGGCCAGGAACCGATTGATTGGAGGTACCTACCTTCCATATATCTTTGGCCTATTTTTCAGGGCCTAAATTTCAGGGGAATATCCCCACAATTCATATGGCCAACAAAAACTGGTACGTTTACGTAGCTCCATGTATTGGATCCAGGAATTCCTATTGAAAGCTATGGTTTTTGGGGATCCATCGATCCCAAGATCCGATGGTTCTCTCCCAGATCCCAGGATCGTCCAACCGGGGATGCCCGACGCATTGGGTGCCACTGCTGTCCTGAATCATGGGGATCATGGGGATCATGGAAAACTAACATAGCGAACTGGAACATGGCCAATTAGTTCGTTGATCTACCTATATAAAAGGCGGATTTTCCATAGCTATGGTGGTTTACCGGAGGGTAAACCCAATAGTAAAGCCCAAGTGGGGATGTTTTTTTCTTTATTTGGTTCACCACATTACATATCCACCTTTTCCACACATGAATTTGGGTAAAACATGGCTCCTTTTGTAAATTTCGATGAGTATCGTATCGGGAAATAGGGTCGTTTGAAGCCATCCCCTATCTTACTAGTCATCTCAACCAATCATCCCAAGTATTGTTGAAAAACAATACCCTCTGGTAAACTAACATAGCTATTGAACATGGCCATTTATAGTGGATTTACCAATTAAAAATGGTGATTTTCCATAGTTATGTTAGTTTACCAAAGGGTAAATATTTTGAACCCCCCAGGTATACTATCAATTGTCAGTCCATCTCTGGCTTGCTAGCCTTCAATCTTGACACACCGCCATGTGAAACATGAAAAAGCCCTTCAAGCCACATGTGCCATGGTCAAAACCCTGGTACTGGTGAACATCAAAATAAGTGGTAAAATCAATAGACCAAAATATGGTACAATGATGTACAATGTGTACAATGCGGTAATGTGGGGTACCCTGTTATATTTAGGGTACCCTGGTTTTTTGGGTACCATATAAAAGGATTTTCATCCAAAATCTTGTACAATGTGGTGACAATTGGGTCAGTTTAGGGATGATTCCCTGTATTTTTGTATAAAAACCACCAGTCTAGTGACGTCACGAGGCTTTCGGTCACAACAAAATTCATCCAGATGTATCCCATGATATCCGATATCGTTGGTTGAAAAATCCCAGATGATCCCCACTCACATCCCATTAAAATCCCATGACACACCATTTTTGTTGGCTAAAGGTCAAAGTTAATGGGATTAGATGAGATACATTTGGATGGTTTACTTCACTATTCACCAAGATATACTCATATTGATATCCCATGATAGTGTGGATAGTTGCGAAATCCTGCGCCAGTTTGTAGATGATTTATCCCATTTGAATATATATATATATATTTAAATCCCATTATTTACCTGGTTGGTGGTTTTAACCCCTCTGAAAAATATTAGTCAGTTGGGATGACAATTTCCCAATATACGAAAAAAAAACATGTTCCAAACCACCAACCAGTTACAGTGTTTCATAGGAATCCCAATACCAAAGGGTGCAGGATTTCTTCCGTCCGCAGTATCCCCATCAAATGTATCAACTCGTGGCTTGACGCGAGCGTCCTCAAGCTCGTCGTAAAGGGCACGCGGCTGGTGGGGGTCTTCACACTGAAGCCGTAGCGACAGGGGTAGCCCCATTGGTGGTTTAAAAACCATAGGAAAACCAAAGGAAACTATAGGAAAAATATGGAAACCAGCTGTTTTAACCAAGAAAAAAAGGGATTTCATGGGATTTATAGATGATTTATGATAACGTAAACTAGGATTTATGGGAAAATCACGATAAAGTTGGATGGGTCCAACAAAAATCAACGTTCACATCACTGGACAGCCTTACTTGGCCTGTGTCTCCGTTGGATCTCTGGGAGACCATCAAGGTTTTGATCATGGGGTTATAGGACAAAATAACTTGGGACATTGGCTCCCCCAAAATTAAAGCACATATGAGTAGCCTCTGGTAAACGTTTACATAACTATGGAAAGATCCACCATTTTTAATGGGTAAATCAACGAACTAAATGGGCCATTTTCAATAGCTATGAGTAGCCAGAGAACTGGATGAGATATTTTGAGACTTTTCATGGGGGAAAATATTTTTGCTGATTCAGATGCTGGCATCCATGGTCCCATGGTCAAGTCATGGGTAAATACGTATGGTCATCACAGCACTGTTGGAAATCCTTATATTGACCAAAGAAAAGTTCCAATGGTAATACGACCATCCCCCTTTATGATACTGTGGATGGTTGCGAAATCCTGCACCAGGTGGTAACTATTGGTCGCTATGAACACTGTTTATCATCTATCAACTATATATATGTATATGATATATATATATAATCCGACTTTTGAACATTGAACATGGCATCCTGGCTGCAACTGCAGCTCTCGGCCTTCTCCCCATGATTCACATGGCTTGACCAAAGCGGAGACATGGATTCATTCCCACCTACAACATATGGGATGACCGGACGACCGGACGGGACATGTTAGCAATGTCGTAAACCACCGATATTTTCATGGTTTATAGTTTATACTGCCATCAAAATGGTACATTTGGGGATGGTGGATCCTGTTGCTTTATTTTTCTAGCTCCTTCCCTGCGGCGCACTTCATGCCAGCATCAGCGCAAGTGATGTCGGTGTAGCTGTAGTTAAAGTTGGTGACCTCGCAAGCAATAGATAGGGCCGAAGCTAAGGCATCAACAATGGTTGGCGGTTGGTGGCTTCAACCTACTCCTCTGAAAACTGATGGAGTTCGTCAGATGGGATGATGACATTCCCAACTGAATGGAAAGTCATAAAATTCATGTTCCAAACCACCAATCAGTTGGTGTTAAGGGTTCAACATCGGGTTTACGAATCATCGATGATTGGGAGAATCACCCAAGTTGTTGATTTTGCATGAGGTTGGGATCATCCCAAGCATGCTCGGTTCCGTCGAAAAAAGTGTTCAGCAACTTGGCAAATCTGCCAATGTTCTTCCAGAGAAGTGACTAAGCCGCCTGTCAGCCAGTGTCAGCCTGTCATGACTCGCTGAAGTCTCGCAGCCCTAAGGTCCCAACATAGTTGAAAAACACTCCCCAGCTCTTGATGATTGACATCAGGTTGGACCTGTCGAGGCTGAAACAAGCAAAACCATAGGCCAACCTGGGGTCAGGTGACATTATCCACATTATCCCACTACTCGGTTATATATATATGTATATATATATATATGTATATATATATATATGTATATAGATATGTATATATATATATGTATATATAGATATGTAAATATATATATATATGTATATAGATATGTATATATATACATATAAATATGTATATATATATATAACTATATCCTACAATAACTCCAAGTGGGCATGGCTCATGATTGATTTTTCATGGACCAATCTCCACGGAGCTCCAGACCTGATGGAGACTTCAGTGCCGTTGCGGCACTTGCACCAATACTTCCCTGCGGGATACTGTGCCGTCACCTGCGAAGGCGACTTTTTTGTCGGACAACTCGACACAGTAAAGGGTAAAGGGGTGACACGACTTTAGAAAATTTTAAGTGTCAGACATGTCAACAAGAAAACACACCAGAAAGTGATAGTTGCATCACAAACATGTTCTGGTTGGTGGTTTCAACCCCTCTGAAAAATATGAAAGTCAGTTGGGATTCTTATTCCCAATATATGGAAAAATAAATTTCATGTTCCAAATCACCAACCAGTGTTTTAATAAGTCTGGATTGCTCAAGAGCAAAGTAGGTGCACCAAGGTCAATGCGCAGCTTCTACCCTTCCCCATCTCTTCTGGTTGAACCTCTGATGCTTAACCCACCACCATTTCTTTTGAAGCAAAATCCCGTTTTTTTGGTTCATTTGGGTTTGTCTGTAAATAGGGTACCTAGAACAGGGGCATACCCCGTTTTCAGACACACTCACGACATATTTCCCATTATATCCCTACAATGTATCAACTCTTTATATCCTTGATATCACGTCTTATATTCCTAATATCACTCAAAGTCTTGCTGATGAAGCCCACTTAGTTGTGGTAAAAGCCGCAATTTTTCGTCTTTTCATCATTATTGCTGCTTAATGTCAACCCCGGAGTAATAAAATACCCCAGACTATTGATGCAAATGATAAATTACTCCCAAAATTGGTAGCCCTCCTACTGGCAAACTAGTGGTTTGCTAATTCTGGGTTAACATTTACCAGCAAAAACTTGGAGCGACCAGCCCTGCCAGCCCTTCCAGTAGCCATCATATGGCCGTTTGGTCATCCCTATGAGACTTCCGATTAGTATCTGCCAAATATCACATCAAGTTTTTCAAACATATTTGGCAAATACTACCCTCCAGTAAATTAACATAGACCCTGCCAGATAGGGGTTGGAAGACTAGTTTCCACTATAAGATGGTGATTTTCAGGGTCAAACTGTTAATTTACCACGGGGTAATGGGAATAAGTTTTCCTAAATATCACATGAAATTTTCCTAAAAATTTGCCATGGATTTTCCCCAAATCGATATCCAATATATCAATGATGATCCCATAAAACGCCCATGTTTTCCCCATGGTTTACACCAAATTTCTTCATCGACCCATACACCAAGTACCATTTGACCGCCAGTTACATATTAGTAGATATCTTCACATCCCCATATATTTTCATTAAGATATATGAAAATTATCATTATTCTTATGACTACTATGTTTTTTATATCACCATAAAAATTATATAATTATTATATATATATATAATATCATATGTACACACTATATGTACACACCCATCTCCCCCCATGAGGCTTGTTCCCAGCCTCTGAGGCGTTACAACTGGCACCACTCAAGCGGCGGGCATCGGGGAGGGAGGCGTTTTCGAAGCCAGTGAACTCACAGTTCTCGCCGTAAAAGCCTGTCGATGAGCCCGCTGGGTTTGAACTCTTTGAAACGATGACCAATGGCTGGTTGGTGGTTTCAACCATCTTGAAAAATATGAAAGTCAATGGGAAGGATTATCCCATATATTATGGAAAATAAAAATGTTCCAAACCACCAGCCAGATGGGGATTTAGCCGCGTTTTCACCGATTTTTTGGGATTATGAAACATGAAACTTGGATAAACTTGGTAACCATCAGCAAAAATGGATCTACACATGAAACATAGGGATTCAACATGATTCCAGCATTGAAGATGGGGATCGTCACATGAAGTTGGAGGATCAACTTGATCAAGTTCGTTTCGTTGCCGAGGTTGAAAGCCAATGATTATTTTGGGATATCCATGGATATCCAACAGTTAGGGATTTATTTTCAAAACAAGATGAAGCCCACGAACCCGAATGCTCACACGTATGTTAATGGTACAGATGTCAATACACATGGTTATGCAGTCACGCACAATACCTTTCTGCAATAGTTTATTTGAACATCTTGTACATGTTCCCTTGTTACCAGTCAGCAGTGTGGAATGTAAAGTGTAGAGTGGGGAGTGTAGAGTGTGTAAAGTGTAGAATGCGGAGTGTAAAGTGTAGAGTGTGGAGTATGGAGTGTAAAGTGTAGAGTGTGGAGAGTAGAGTGTGGAGAGTAGAGTGTGGAGTGTGGAGTGTAGAGTGTGGAGTGAGGAGTGTAAAGTGCAAAGTGTGGAGTGTGGAGTGTAAAGTGTAGAGTGTGGAGTGTAAAGTGTGGAGTGTAGTGTGGAGTGAGGAGTGCAAAGTGGAAAGCCTGGAGTGTAAAGTGCAAAGTGTGGAGTGTAGAGTGTTTAGTGTAGAGTGTAAAGTGTAGAGTGTGGAGTGTGGAGTGTAAAGTGTGGAGTGTAAAGTCTAGAGTGTGGAGTGTGGAGTGTAAAGTGCGGAGTGATGTGGAGTGTAAAGTGTGGAGTGTGGTGTGTAAAGTGTGGAGTGTGGAGTGGAAAGTGTGGAGTGTGAAGTGTGGAGTGTAAAGTAAGGAGTGTGTAGTGTAAAGTGTGGAGTGTGGAGTGTAAAGTGTAGAGTGTGGAGTGTTAAAGTGTAGAGTGAGGAGTGAGGAGTGGAAAGTGTAGAGTGTAGTGTAAAGTGTGGAGTGTGGAGTGGAGTGTAAAGTCTCAGGTGAGGAGTGAGGAGTGTAAAGTGCAAAGTGTAAAGTGTGGAGTGTAAAGTGTAGAGTGTGGAGTCTAAAGTGTAAATTGTGGAGTGTGGAGTGTAAAGTGTAGAGTGTGGAGTGTAAAGTGTGGAGTGTAGTGTGGAGTGAGGAGTGCAAAGTGGAAAGCCTGGAGTGTAAAGTGCAAAGTGTGGAGTGTAGAGTGTTTAGTGTAGAGTGTAAAGTGTAGAGTGTGGAGTGTGGAGTGTAGAGTGTGGAGTGTAAAGTGTAGAGTGAGGAGCGAGGAGTGGAAAGTGTAGAGTGTAGTGTAAAGTGTGGAGTGTGGAGTGTAAAGTTTCAGGTGAGGAGTGAGGAGTGTAAAGTGCAAAGTGTGGAGTGTGGAGTGTAAAGTGTAGAGTGTGGAGTGTAAAGTGTAAAGTGTGGAGTGTAGTGTGGAGTGAGGAGTGCAAAGTGGAAAGCCTGGAGTGTAAAGTGCAAAGTGTGGAGTGTAGAGTGTTTAGTGTAGAGTGTAAAGTGTGGAGTGTGGCGTGTAAAGTGTGGAGTGTAAAGTCTAGAGTGTGGACTGTGGAGTGTAAAGTCTAGAGTGTGGAGTGTGGAGTGTAAAGTGCGGAGTGATGTGGAGTGTAAAGTGTGGAGTGAGGAGTGTAAAGTGTGGAGTGTGGTGTGTAAAGTGTGGAGTGTGGAGTGGAAAGTGTGGAGTGTGAAGTGTGGAGTGGAAAGTAAGGAGTGTGTAGTGTAAAGTGTGGAGTGTGGAGTGTAAAGTGTAGAGTGTGGAGTGTAAAGTGTAGAGTGAGGAGCGAGGAGTGGAAAGTGTAGAGTGTAGTGTAAAGTGTGGAGTTTGGAGTGTAAAGTTTCAGGTGAGGAGTGAGGAGTGTAAAGTGCAAAGTGTGGAGTGTAAAGTGTAGAGTGTGGAGTCTAAAGTGTAAATTGTGGAGTGTGGAGTGTAAAGTGTAGAGTGTGGAGTGTGGAGCTTCCCCCATAGACACGGCGACGCCACAGGAAAACCAGAGACTCGAGACGAGACACGTGGGAGCACCAAAACGAACATTTCGTGCGAGACTTCCTCCAATTTTGATATTTTCGACACGTTATCAAACAGGTTGGAATGTCACAAAGTGCCACGCCTGCCACGCAAAACGACATGACAACCTGCTTGGACACATTCGAATAGGAGATGTTTTCCAGCTTCCCCCATAGACACGGCGACGCCACAGGAAAACCAGCGACTCGAGACAAGACACGTGGATGCAGAAAAACCAGCATTTCGTACGAGACTTCCTCCAATTTTGACATTTTTGACACATTATCAAACAAGTTGGAATGTCACAAAGTGCCACGCCTGCCACGCAAAACGACATGACAACTTCCTTGGAAACCTTCGAAAAGGAGAGGTTTTGCGGCTTCCCCCATAGACACGGCGAACCCACAGGAAAACCAGAGACTCGAGACGAGACACGTGGGAGCACCAAAACGATCATTTCGTACGAGACTTCCGGCGATTTTCACAGTTGGCAACATGACAAAAGGACAAGTTTTGCAGCTTCCCCCATAGACACGGCGAGGCCACGGGAAAACCAGAGACGCGAGACGAGACAGGTGGGAGCAGCAAAACGAGCATTTCGTGCGAGATTTCCTCCAATTTTCACACTTTGTAGCTTCAAAATCGACGCTTTCCTACGAGTTTTCCTTAGAACCTGAAAATTTGCAACCTCAAAATCGATGTTTCGTGCGAGGCTTCCGTCAATTTTCACCACATCGCACAAAATGCCACGCCTGCCACGGAATTTGCACCTTGTCGCCACTTGACGCAGCCCTGCCAATGCGATTTACAAAAAACACGCAACACGACACGTCACGTCTAAAGTGCTGCGCCTGCCACGAAAAATGACGATGGACACGTCCAAAGTGCTGCGCCTGCCACGAAAAATGCAAGACATCTTGTGAAAACGTCGCGAAAGTATTGCACCTGCCACACAAAACGACTTTCGACACGTTCCAGAACACGTCTGAATGTCACGAAGTGCCACGCCTGCCACGCGAAACGAAGCAACGACACGTCTGAAACCTCCAAAAATGACCACCTCTGTAAAACTTCCCATAGGCACGGCCATACGGTCCTCACACGAACGGTTGCGAACGGTTGCGCTCGTGAACGCAACGTCGAGCGAACACACCCTCAACCCCCAGACCCCCAGAGTGAAACGGGAACCCTTGCTACGCATTCGGGAAAAAACCTAGAATTTTTCAGGATTGCAACTAAAGAAAGTCCCAGTTCCAATACGGGATACCGCAAGTATATCATCATTCTCCTTATCAAAATGGCCATCATTCTCGGTATCCCGGAGAGTATCCCGCAGATATTCTGGACGAACTGCAGGCAAGTCATTTCCATGTCTGGTGGATCTTGATCTTCCATTGCGATGTTTGTTTACTTTATATAAAGGGTATCTACCACTCCTTGGCAGCTCTGATATTCAGACCACATTGCGGGTATCTTCTGCCCACAAGAAATTAAAAATCCTGGCTGTGGATCTTGATATCCGGGTTTGTCTGAAGATAATAGGGTCCCCCCTACTCTGGTAGTTGATTGTCATTCTCTTCATTGGGGGTGTACCCATTTTCAGATTTTTCAGGCACATCTAGTGGCCGAGTCCTGCTCTATGCAGACTATTTCCATTCGTAGTTCGGATTTTGGAGGGAACCAACAACTGCTGGAAACTAATGGCGGATCAGCATTGACCCTGAGAAAACTGAGAGGTGTATAGTAAGATGATCCTCAGAAGCAAAGGCGTCGCAGCCTTTTTTTCGTTGATCAGCTTTGACGCATGGGGTGCAGCAGATAGGTTAATTCCATACTATTGTTGCTTAACTTTACTCAGTGGTCCAAATTGGTGAATCATTGAGGTTATTATGTTTCCCATCTGTTTCCCATATTGAAATATCCTCTGGTAAACTAACAGTTTGCGAACTGGAAAATGGCCGTAGAAAGTTCGTTGGTTTTCCCATTCAACATGGTGGATCTTTCCATAGTTATGTAGCAGTGACTACCAGGCCGGGTAAACCTCCATTGATCACCATTAGATCCCACTAAACCACCATTTTTAATCCCATGAAATCCATTAAATCACCATTAAATCACCATTAATCACCATGAAATCCCATGAAATCCCCATTAAATCCCTCAAGGTTGAGGATATCACCGGAAGCAGCGAAAAGGCCTGTCAAACATTGACACTGATGCTGAAAATTGGGCAGGTCCACGCAGGTCCTAAGAGGCTCCAAGGCTCCCTCAGGTCAACATCATTAGTTTCGGGCTTTCCATTACAATATATACTTATAGACTATAGTATAGATGTGATGTATAGTTATTATATATATAATGTATACATACTTATATACATACTTATATACATATATGTGTACATACATATGAAGTACATATAGATATACATGATTTATATACCACACGCCACACGCAATTATATATATATACATACGTATGTACACCTATATACTTTTTAGCACATTGACTAGAGACTTGAACGGTTCAAAAAACGCTGGAAAATCTTCCACTCCTCACAGGCCGAACTCAGGCTCTAACCCAGCATTCTGACAAGGCGAATGAGAGCACTTGGAGCAATAGCCCTGAAAATCCTGTTGTTCGGCGCCGGATGAGACCCTAGAAATCTGAGTGATGCCTAAGGGAATTTTCAGCATATGTTCAAGCAGTTGGATTAATGGCCTGTATACATGATATGTAAGTGTAAGTACATATATATGATTATAGATGTTATGTATGCAGGTTATACATGTATACAATTATATACACATGATATACATATGTTATACGTATATGATATACATATATATATATGGTAATATATCAGCCGCGGCAGTATAATCGATGGGGTGTTCCTACCTCGTTTGGCCATACAAATATATAGTGTTTTCGACAAACCGGGGTACGCACCAAGATTATTCTTCACTTCACCAACTAAAACCAATCACTCATATAGGATATACATAGGATTAGGACATATAAGTTATAAGTATAGGATCTTTCTCTAAATAACTATATGTATATATTGTATATTATTATTTGATATGGTATAATATAGACCACTTCCTATCTGAGCCCAAATTTGTCACTGTGCCGGCCGGCAGACACTTTTTCCATGGCAAATCTTCGTCCACAGAACTAACCTGCATACTTCAAACGAGGCAAATCATCATCTGGTAACTGATACCACTTTTGCATCATGGAGCAGCAAATGTGGATGACTCGATACCTGAGCCAATGGGTCTTCTGGGGATTCTTGAAGTCTAAAAAAAGAAACAAGATGAAGCCCACGAACCCGAATGCTCACACGTATGTTGAAGATACCGATGTTAAAGTATCGATTATGATATGAGATGAAAATGTCAATGCTCAAACCTATCGTAAAACAGTGGAACAACGTCATTGCTCCGGATCTGTTTTCTCTCCGCGACAGCAGCACTGGCGTCGCAACGCAGTGGCGCGCGACAAGTAGCGCCTTCCAAGACATGGAAGCCATGCGAGACGAACGTATCACACATGAAATGTCTTGTGTTGGGAATCACATGCGTCGATGCAACAAGATAAAATGTATGGATCAATCAAACAGGTTGGAATGTCACAAAGTGCCACGCCTGCCATGCAAAACGACATGACAACCTGCATGGAAACATTCGAAAAGGAGGTGTTTTGCCGCTTCCCCCATAGACACCACGACGCCACAGGAAAACGAGACACACAGACAAGACACGTGGATGCAGAAAAAAGAGCGTTTCGTGCGAGACTTCCTCCAATTGTGACATTTGCGACACATTATCAAACAGGTTGGAATGTCACAAAGTGCCACGTCTGCCACGCAAAACAACATGACAACCTGCTTGGAAACATTCGAAAAGGAGAGGTTTTCCAGCTTCCCCCATGGACACGGCGACGCCACAGAAACACAAGCGCCGCAAGACAAGACACGTGGATACAGAAAAACTAGCATTTTGTGCGAGACTTCCGGCAATTTTCACAGTTGCCGACAAGATAAAAAGACAAGTTTTGCAGCTTCCCCCATAGACACGGCGAGGCCACGGGAAAACCAGACGCGAGAAGAGACAGGTGGGAGCACCAAAACGAGCATTTCGTGCGAGACTTCCTCCACTTTTCACACTTTGCAGCTTCAAAATCGACGTTTTCCTACGAGTTTTCCTTAGAACCTGAAAATTTGCAACCTCAAAATCGATGTTTCGTGCGAGGCTTCCGTCAATTTTCAGCACATGTCAGAAAATGCCACGCCTGCCACGGAATTTGCACCTTGTCACCACTTGACGCAGCCCTGCCAATGCGATTTACAAAAACACGCCACAGGACGCGTCTAAAGTGCTGCGCCTGCCACGAAAAATGACGATGGACGCGTCCAAAGTGCTGCGCCTGCCACGAAAACTGCAACACATCTTCTGAAAACGTCGCAAAAGTATTGCGCCTGCCACGCAAAACGACTTGCGACACGTTGCAGAACACGTCTGAATGTCCCGAAGTGCCACACCTGCCACGCGAAACGAAGCAGCCAGACGTCTGAAACCTCCAAAAAGGACCACCTCTGTAAAACTTCCCATAGGCACGGCCATACGGTCCTCACGCGAACGGTTGCGAACGGTTGCGCTCGCGAACGCAACGTCGAGCGAACACACCCTCAACCCCCAGACCCCCAGAGTGAAACGGGAACCCTTGCTACGCATTCGGGAATAACCCTGCCATAAAACTCAGCATGAGCTTAGGATCATGAAAGCTCATCCGCTATGGAGGGTTGGAAGGCCATTGGAAGGCCAAAAAACCACCTCTCCAAACCCTAGCCTTTTGGGAACGGCAACAAACCATGAATTTCATGGGTTTTAACCAAGGAACCAGACTGCTTTCGAGAGGACCTCGCTGTCTTCCAACGTTCCCGCGGCCGGCCACACACAGTCAGGCTGGCTGTCGTAGACGATAGTGAGATCAGTGCCACAAGCGCTGCAGAAATGTCGCTGACCATGGTTGGTGGTTCCTGTGATGCCAAAGTCAAACTTATCTGGTTGGTGGTATACCTACCCCTCTGAAGAATATTAGTCAGTTGGGGTTATGATTCCCAACATCTGGAAAAATAACAAATGTTTGAAACCACCAACCAGTTATGAATGAGTGGAAATATAAATGCCTTTAACAAGGCTTTGCATTTATCTTGTAAATACAGCACACACCTGTAACACGGGGCTATGGCCCATTTCAATCAAGTTGCAACTGGATCATGTAGCAGCAAAATAAATTTATCAAACAACATCCTACAGCTAAGCTACCCATAACATCGTGGAATGTTTGCATCTCCAAGCTGTTTCCAAGGTTGATCAGGATCGTTGTCGTCAAACATGGCAATGGGAAATCCCACATGGTCATCTAAAATCATCACTCGGGTAATTACCCTCTGGTAAACTAACATAGCTATTGAAATGGCCATTTATAGTGAGTTTTCCCATTAACAATGGTGATTTTCCATAGTTATGTTAGTTTACCAGAGAGTATTTTCCGTTGCAATGTTTGATTACCAGAGGGAACAACATCTGGTTTTTAGCTGCCTAAATGCTTTCATGCGACTGCCCAGCTTTATTTAGCACAGCAAATGATTCCACATAATTCAGATGCCAGGGGTCCAAATTTTATTTGCAAGACTGCCCGACCAATCATCCATCACATTTATGACGTTCATATACAATAGATTTCTATGACATGTGCGGTAGTCAGCGACTCTGGACCTCCCGATCCAGGTCATCTTTTGTCCAGCTCGTCCCATTTGTCCCATTTAAGTCATCATTGTATTCCATTGAATAGCCATTAAATGGCCATAAAATGCTTGCCTTTCTCATGATTTATATACATGTTATAACTACAATTTTTATATCGGGGCCATGACTATTGCGAAAAAAAACCTTCCCGTATATCAAAGATATTATACATATGACTTAGATCCCATGAAATACCTCCCTACAGGATGGGGCCCCCCAGTTATGTCTGTTGGTTTATAAACTATGAATTAATCCCCATTAAGTAGCTCGTTATATCTACCATAAACCATAGTTAAACCACTTATAAACCAACTGAACGCTATCGACTGGGGGCCCCATCTTGTACATATCGAACAAAAATCGCCACGAACGCTTTCGATGATCCCCAATAGGGATGCGCTTCATCTGTCCCCGATCAGAATGCGGCATCACGGGGGGGATTTTTGACCCTCCCCATATGCCATAGATTTTTCCATAGCATATATAACAATAAAAAAAAGCCATACTACATACCACCTTGTACCAAATAATTATATATCTCAAAAAATATCTCCAAAAATCATAATTAATTATCACAGATCTTTCCAATGATATTTGCATACCATCGATATTCCCGTTATATCCCATTTTTAGCCCCATTACCTACAGATACTCCATTACCTACAGATATTCCATATTGCTACTATATACCAATACTATACCAATTCATACCAATCAAATTTCGGTATTGGTATATACAAATTACTTATATATTCATACCTATACTTGTGTTCATACCTATACTTATGTTCATTTGTATATAACACACTAATAAACACACACACACATATATATATATATTCACAGCGATTCATACCAATATAGAAATTACCAGCCTGCCTCATATCATGATCAACCAACAAGGGCAATCAAAGATCCAGCATTTACATCGCGAGATTTGCCAAGTAAACCATCGATATGATAAGTAATGCACCATGAAATATCAACGGTAAGTATATATATATATATATCATGATATATGTCAATAAAAAGAATTTACTTATATAAACCATGATATGGAACTATCATGAAATATCAATATATAAGATTATATAAGTAAATATAATGTCCTTTATCATCTTTTAATATTGAGATATATGATAAGATATGATAAGATTCGGACTGCCCATCTCTCCATCAAGGCGCGCATCAGGCGCAGACTCGACGACGAGCTCCAGCGGAAGGTCTCCAACGAGGCCGGGACCCAGCTCTGAGCCACGGAGCCCGAGAGACCTGTCGACGCCGCGGAAGTTTGGCGAAGCCGGCGCGGCAATTTTTTGGGGGCAGTCGTCACGAAGCCATCAGATATGACCTACATGTATATTGCATATATATATATTAAATATATATATATATATATCTATATTAAATATATATATATATATCTATATTAAATATATATATATATTAAATATATATATATATTAAATATATATATATATATATTAAATATATATATATTAAATATATATATATATATTATAGATAGGTATAGCATGTAGATATGTATCATAATATGCAGAGCTTTATGAATATATACATATTTTGAAGCAATCGCCGATCAATCGGGACGCAGGGTTTTACAATGATGGACATCCATTGGGCTCATCACTCGATAGCTCAGTCAGCTAAGTTGGTTAAGACAGTGACAACTAGGACTTATGGTGGATATATCAATTTTGATGGTTTTATAAACCAATTTCTAACATTGGAAAAATATAATATAGTATATCTATAGATATGTGGTTACTATTATATTTAGATAGCTGGTTGGGGGGGCACCACATTGAATCAAGTGTTGAAGATGACACATTACTTAGAAAATTACGTTGATCTTCTGGGTGGAATGCACCGGAAATGATGCCGGCAAGAAGTTTCACCTGAACAGAAGAATGGACTGTTGAAGAACCACCTACTGTTGAAGAACCAAAGCATGGCTAATCTTGGGCAATCTGCCCAAAAAAAACTCAGCTGGGCATTCTATTTCCGCAAAAGATTCACATATTACCCTCTGGTAAACTAACATAGCTATTGAACATTGCCATTTAGTGGATTTTCCCATTAAAAAAGGTTATTTTCCATAGTTATGTTAGTTTACCAGAGGGTAAACTACCTAACTCACTCAGTTTACCCGATATCTGTCATATCTCCATCTTTTATTGGTTAAAGCTATCAACCCCCGCCACTTTTTATGGTAACCAAGGTCAATCCCAGTTTTTTTTCCCAGGTTTTCCCATTTTGGGTGGTCCCTGGTTTTTCGCATAACCCCTCAACTTGTCCCTCTGTGATGTTCCAACTTGTTGGTCGGTTATTAGTTAAGTAAATACTTGGTGGCTCATCCCACGGCTCGTAAGTGGGTTATAACCCCAGTTATAAATGGGATAAGTAGGGTTAATCCATGTATAACTGGGGTTATAACCCACTTACTAAGTGGGATGAGCCACCAAGTATCCCCATATACTTCGCCGAAGATTGGTTAGGATCAAACTTTGATCAAACTATCCATCAAGCCGCCAGTTGTCGCTGGTTAATTCCATATCCCAGTCACCAAAAACTTGGTATACACGGCTATCAGCTAAATCAGCATTTTAGAGGGTTGAATCCCACATTTTCAATAGTGAAACCATCACAATCATCCCAAATTGGAGTTAAGTCCCCAATTTTCAATGGTTACATCCAACTGTATATATTTTTTGATGGTCAAACCACCATTTGTCATCTGGTTGGTGGTGTACCTACCTCTCCCCTCTGAAAAATATGAGTCCGTCAGCGGGGATGATGACATTCCCAACTGAATGGAAAGTCATAAAATTCCATGGTTCCAAACCACCAACCAGTCCTTATTTCATGGTTTTTGATGGTTTACCCTCTGATAAACTGTTACATAACATTACATAACTATGGAAAATCACCATGTTTAAGGGGTAAATCAACGAACTAAATGGCCAGTTTCAATAGCAAACTGTTGACATAACCAGAGGGCAGTCTCGTTTTTTCATCGATCAATTTTCCAGTTGATTCCCCGTCAAGCCACGTCGGCAGAGCTTGCAGTAGCAGTGCTGTGCTTCCCCCGGCAGCAAGGCGGCCTCGTAGACGCATTGCCTCGGAGAGTGGATGGCTTGAGGTTGCAGAATACATTTCTATAGAGATATAATGCAAATCTATATAGACAATGGATAGATATATATAGAAAATGGCAATCTATAATATTATTCTACAATATCTCTATGAATCTAGGAAATAATGAATATATATATATATATATGTATATCTTTCAGCATTCGGATGAATGTATATATAGATAGATATTGGTATATCATGGAAATAAAGGGAATATAGTACTTCAAATGGAATCTTGTATATATATATATACACCAATATGATATTAAGGTATGTTTATCAATGGTTCTCCATGGTTACATACAATGTATCAACATAACTATTCAATTTTGGTACATGTATGTATATATTGAAATAATGATAATGATGATGCTGATAACAGTAGTATCACTATATAATACCATTGTTTGAAACACGCGGATATTTTTCGTGGGAACATAATGGGTATAATTTTGCTTTTAGAAATAATACTATGCATATCAGTATATCCTCAATATCCCAATCATACCAAGTATCTGGGTAAATTAAAATATTTCACTAACCTGAATAGTAAGGCCATAAAAGGGGATGATTTCCCTGAAATAAACCATGATTCCAGGGCTCGGTCGTGATGAAATTTACCCAGAATTATGTACCCATCATATTCAGATTAATTATATCTCTACCCTCTGGCAAACTGTTACATAACTATGGAAAATCACCATTATTAATGGGTAATAATGGGTAAATCCACTATAAATCACCATTTTCAATATCTATGTTAAATTACCAGAGGGTATATTATCATCATTTCTGGTTGAATCCCATTAACAAATCACCACAGGGTGGTTGCATTGGAGGGCCATGATTGTAGAGTGGCTGCGAGACACCCCTGGCAGTGTTGATTATTTGTTTGGGGATTATACTACCCAAATATGATAATCCAAGAACTGGGAATCCCGTTCCTTACCAGGCAAAAAAAACACGACAGAATTACAATAATTTATGAATATATAAATGACCCAACCTTATGAATATAATTTTATGAATATAATTTATTCACCCAACTTTTTGATCACACTTTAATGGCTATTTTCATGATTTTTGTGTGTCAGTCCCAACAAAAGCTCAGTGGCTATCCCAAAGAGCCTTGCTTGGTCAGAAGGCTTTTTTTTTGGGATCCCCATCGCAAGGTCACGGAAAAAACATACAGAATAGTATCATTCCCCTAATATTTTCAACATCCCATTGAAATTGGCCATAGAATTAGTGGATTTACCCATTGAAAATGGTGATTTCCATAGTTATGTTAGTTCCCCAGAGGGTAATTCAGCCAGAAGAATTCCATCCCCCTAATATTAAACATCCCATTGTATGGTTCCAAGTATGTGTAAATCTCTTATTGAACAATGCTTTCTTTGGTGGTGTTTAATTTTCGGGGGATGGTATTTATTACCTATCAATAAGGGGATAGTTCTGGACATTTTTTTTAAATATCACGACCTCACTGCGACGTTGCTGGAAATGATGGTTCTTATCGGAAATCCAAAATAAAAAGAACTCTGCATGCGCAGATGTGTGCGCAATCAGCAAAAAATGACAATCAAGAAACACAGAAGAACACGAAACACTTCTGGTAGCAAAGTTGTCTTCCAAAGCGGATGTCTTGTGAAGATGACCGAAATTCATCAAAAAGCTGGGTCACAACAATTGCAGCTCTAAAAAAACATCATTGGTATCCCATACAAAAATATCTGGAACATGAACTTTTTCCCCACACCAGAGGGTCATGGCTCCCTTTGCATGGTGCCCTTCAAGTGGTTGGACCTTCTGAAAAGGGGACCAACGAACCACCATTGAGGATGTTCACGCACAGCAATCAAGTGCATGACAACTCAGCCTGGCAAGGCCAATGACTGCCGTGTTTGATTTCAAGCACCCAAGCCCAAGCTACGACATTTCGCAGCCACCTGCTTGCCAATGACATGGAATGATGAGGAATATTGATCATTGAGAAAACATGATTGCAAAAATGGAATTTTAAAATGAAATTTCAGTACGACTCCCCCCCCTCAAATTCCATTTTTAAGAGGGTAGGGATCTGGCGGCAACGCAACACATGCAACGCCAGAAACAGTGAATTTGATGGGGGGACGTCGTCTGCATTTTGCTGCCCATGGTGTGTGCCACTTCCATGGACTTTTTAACCTAAAGGCATCAGACGTTCACATCCATAGCGTTCCGTCGGAAAATTTCTGATGTCGATGAAGGCAGTCTTCATGCTGGCGCTGGGTGCTCCACCAGACCGAATCACGACACCCACTTGGTCAACTTCCAACAGCCAACGGGCCAACGCTTGGAACAAATGACTTTCGGTCTACAGCCCAAACGGCCCAAACCTGGGAAGTCTGGGAAGTCCTAGCGAAATACCGTGATGTTGCCCAAAAAAAGCCATGATGAAATTGTTCAATCCATCAGCAGCTCATTATGCTGTGCTTCGGTTGACCAGTCAAGGCTCCCTTTGCATGGTGCCCTTCAAGTGGTTGGACCTTCTGAAAAGGGGACCAACGAACCACCATTGAGGATGTTCACGCACCGCAATCAAGTGCATGACAACTCAGCCTGGCAAGGCCAATGACTGCCGTGTTTGATTTCAAGCACCCAAGCTACGACATTTCGCAGCCAAGCCCACTGAAACATGCCTTCTGTGGCGTGGTCCACTCAACCCATTCCAAGTCGCACCCTGGCCCAGAACAGATGGCTGACTGATAGATCTGACAGATCTGATAGATGCGCATCCTGCGCTGCTAGCGTGGCGGAGCAAAATATTGCACACGGCCACAGCGCGCCCACCAGCTGCAGCTCTTAAGGCGCAGCCCTCAAAGTTGTTGAAAGAACCTTTTCCAAGGGGATTTGCAAAAGGCACTTGGTCAAGTGGCAAGTGGCAAGTGGTTCCTACAAGAGAGTTTACCTACCCCAAATTTTCTCAAATGTTTCCAAAACCTTTTTTTTCAGGAAACATCTTCTTTCTGATTTCTGGGGAATGCTAAA